CCTGCCCATACGTTTAAACTAAACTGGTGTTGATGTCTTGAATGCACAATAACATGTGGGTTTCCTTCATCCCAATTATGAACATTATGAAAATTGAATATGCCATCTCTGATAAAACTATACAAAACTCTCTTCACGTTCACACATTTACAGGAATCAAGTACAAAATACGAAAGATATCAAGTAAGCAGTATTTGTAAACAGTGCAAATTCTTGCTTACGAACCCCGAAGACAGCATTGCATTCGTGGACCACGCAGATTATATCTCATAAACAAAGTCAGATGGGACATATACTTTTATGACATTCTTTCATTATTTTTAGGCGTACAATCGGCCGAAGTGGGTCCCACAAGTTACGAAACACCCTATATATTTTAATTCCAATATTAATACACAGGGCGTTCTTTACAATTTTATGTGCTGTGTCTGCATTTTATGTACAATTATGTGCCTTGTGCAACTAATGGTGCCCATATACTGGTGTATTAAATGAGGCAAAAAAAAAACTGAAATACATACGTCTCATTTTAAAAATAATTTCCACTTGTCTGTCTTTTCATTCGCCTCTGTAATAAATTTTTGAAATCGTAAAGAGACTTTATCGTTACCCTGTGTATTAATTCTCTGAACTTTTATGAACTTTTATCAATTATATCAAAAACTATAGCAGCAAGCATGTAAAATCATTGGGAAATCAACAAAGGACCCCCAATATTTCATTTAACATGTCGTGGCATTTAACATGTCGAAGAGAGGATATTTCCTACAATGTCGATGTCTCTTGAAACAACCGAAAGAACACAGTCGACTCGCGCCGAGATCAGAATAAATTTCATTTATTTTTACTCGGCTGCGACTCGTACTCGGAGATAGAAAACTACAGGAAAGATGTCCCTGTTAATATTTCAAACGATCTTCTTGCCTCAGTCGGCTACTCCCGTTCTCTCGCGACTAGGTACTATTTTCATCGTTTCTGTCTTCTCGTTTTCGTCCAGATGCCTTTGTCACTTGCGCGACGCGTAAAGAAATCGTCGCTTGGAGAACGTGAAAATTCGCAAAGCGGGGCGAAATTTTTCTTTATCTTTCTCTTCATCATTTTCGCGATTACGTGTATACTTACGTGCAACCAAGTTGCATTTTATTTTACGCAATGCCTGCACAACTGTACGGACGAAGAACCGCTGCTCTTTCACTTATAAATAATGAAAGAGCTGGTTCGCATGCCGGGAGGAAGAAGCACGCAGCGTAATCGGCGATCCGGTCCGAATATAATCTATTCAAAGTGGTGAAAAGAATCACGTAAGAATTGATTAGCGTAATCGCGCCGACTTCGATGTTAAATCGAAGTTCGATTAAGTGCACTTGTCCGTCTCGAAACTGAATTGGCTTGTCGAGTCGTTTCAATCTTGAACCTGATCTTACGCTTCTCGTTTTCTGTCGTGTTGTTGAGCAACCGATTGGCGATCAGCGTTGTTAATTAACGGCGAACGTAACACGGTTGGCAACTTTTTAAAATTCGCCTGTGCACGCAACACAGCTTCCTGTAAACGTGGAACGCGCGTTGGATAATTGAAGCCGTGGATTCCAATATGGCGGCGAGCTGAGACCAACGAGATCAGTCATTTTTGCCTATGTTCGTCGATTTGAATCGTAAAATCATATTACGTGCGAGTGAAATCAATTCGAAATGACGATTGAATTAAAAATGGAAAGTAAAAGTTTGCAACAAACTTAAATGGAAGCTTTTATTCCCAAATTGCAAACATATGGCGCTGGTGCGCTGGCAACTGATATTGCGGACCATAACGAGCGACCAAACCCGTATACAACAATTCGTCGCTTTCCTTCTGATATCGCTGGATAGAAATTATAAAGAGAATTAATAAATTTGTTATTATGCTTAATTTATTATCTACTATAAACTTATTATTTATAACTTATACTTAAGCATACTTAAAGCTGAGAAAATATTGCATATTTTAGGACAAAAAATTCTCGACGTTTAATTCAATTCAAATTTACTCTCGGCAAAGCCCAATCAAATTAAATTCCCTAAGTCTAATTGACCAACTGACTATTTGTTTCGCTATTTTCGAGTCGACTGTTCAGCCGCTCGCTCGCTCGCGAAGATCAGACGTAAACTCGGACCAGATTAATTTCCTCTTAAAAACTTAGAAACCGCCATAACCACTCTTTCGCCCGGCCAATTTACCCAATGAAAGTTGCCATTGTACGACCGGGTAAACCAGAGTTTCCCCGAAGAAATTCCCAACTTCCGTCTAACGCTAACCGGGTCGTTGCAACCCCTTTAACCATCGACCAATCGTTGGTCGTTGGATACACAGAGCCAGCAGTTCCGCGGAACACGAGGAATCAGCATAAACCAACTTACACCACCGTCGAAGATCTAATCTCTCTCTCTCTCTCTCTCTCTCTCTCTCCTTTCTATTACGTCGGACTGGTCAGCCAAGCCATCCTTACGTCTTCTCCCTCTTCTCCTCCCTAGCCACCTCGTTGAACTAGCTTGGACACGCTTCGACTAGCCACGGTACTTCTTCTTCAGTATCTCGAAGAACTCGCGCGAGCGTGCACCAGCTTCGTATCGAGAAGCTGTCGTCTACTCGCCTCGACTATACACCAAACGGTGAGACTCGGAGAGAAAGAGAGAGAGAGAGAGAGAGAGCTGGAAGGAAACTGTTCAACTATTTAGCAGAGGGGTGTTGGAGTGTGAAACCGCCCCAGCCCGGAAGTGTGTTCGAAACGCGCACGCTGCTCTGGAGCGAACGACGTGGTGGTCTCATCGAAAGAGCATCGAGTAAATCTCTTGCCAAGGCTGAGGCTAAGTTCGGATATTCGTAGCTTCGTTTCAGCTCGAGATCGGGACCAATTTTTGAGAAGATTGACTGGAGTTGATCTTGATTTACAGGACGATAGTAATTTTGTCGAAAGTGTTTTATCGAGTAACTTGTTAAGGCTGAGGCTAAGTTTGAATATTCGTAGCTTCGTTTCAGCTCGAGATCGGGACGAATTTTTGAGAAGATTGACTGGAGTTGGTCTTGACTAACAGGACGATAGTAGTTTTATCGAGTAACTTGTTAAGGCTGAGGCTAAGTTTGAATATTCGTAGCTTCATTTCTGCTCGAGATCGGGACGAATTTTTGAGAAGATTGACTGGAATTGGTCTTGATTTACAGGACGATAGTAATTTTGTCGAAAGTGTTTTATCGAGTAACTTGTTAAGGCTGAAGCTAAGTTCGAATATTCCTAGCTTCGTTTCTGCTCGAGATCGGGACGAATTTTTGAGAAGATTGACTGGAGTTGATCTTGATTTACAGGACGATAGTAATTTTGTCGAAAGTGTTTTATCGAGTAACTTGTTAAGGCTGAGGCTAAGTTTGAATATTCGTAGCTTCGTTTCAGCTCGAGATCGGGACGAATTTTTGAGAAGATTGACTGGAATTGGTCTTGATTTACAGGACGATAGTAATTTTGTCGAAAGTGTTTTATCGAGTAACTTGTTAAGGCTGAAGCTAAGTTCGAATATTCCTAGCTTCGTTTCAGCTCGAGATCGGGACGAATTTTTGAGAAGATTGACTGGAGTTGGTCTTGATTTACAGGACGATAGTAATTTTGTCGAAAGTGTTTTATCGAGTAACTTGTTAAGGCTGAAGCTAAGTTTGAATATTCGTAGCTTCATTTCTGCTCGAGATCGGGACGAATTTTTGAGAAGATTGACTGGAATTGGTCTTGATTTACAGGACGATAGTAATTTTGTCGAAAGTGTTTTATCGAGTAACTTGTTAAGGCTGAGGCTAAGTTCGAATATTCATAGCTCCGCTTTCTGCCAACACGAGAAGGATTTTTGAGAATATTTTAATTTCAGAGAAGATTGACCAGAGTTAGTCTTGACTGAAAGGTCTTGACAATATTTTGTCTTAAGTCTTGACAATATTCGAGACTGACTTCTGTTATTTATGAACGCTATAACTGGCCGCAAATATTACTGCAAATTTCGATGAAATATTTCCACTAACAGGGCAAATAAGACGAACTTGACGAACGTTGAAAAAAAAATATTTGAGAAGCTTTTAATACCGAAGATTCACTGGGACTAGTCTTAACTGACAGCGCAATATTTGAGACTAACGCCGAACGAAGGAGACTTTGAAAAAAAAAAAGTGTAATATTGTAAATGAAACAGCAAAATATCCTACAAATTATGCTTGGCACTAATTGTGAGAATTTCGAGGGCTTTAATCGAAAAGCTGGTGCATTTCTAAAAGAAACTGATTGAACTGGATATAAACTTTACCAATCGACTGTTAACTGAGAGAACGATACATATTAAAAAAGAAGAAAAAGAAATGATCAATCAAGTAAAAAGTAATTTAACGTCGATATTGAATCATTCGACTACTGTTTGTTAAAAACTCGGGACCGATTGAAACACTATTCGAGAATGCTATTTTTTTGCAGATTGCTTCGAAGAGATATCGAATCTGTGAAATATTTACTTCAATTGGAAAATTTAATGGAACAAAAATATTGAATTTAATATAATCCTTCGTACAGTGTTTATATATATATATATACCAGTGTCAATCTCTCTATCAGTGTTCAGGAACTGTGAATGTTAAAACTGTTGAGAGAAGCATCGTAGAATTAAATCGCTTGGCCGCTTTGAAGAAACCTCTTACGCTCGAGCAAATGAACTTTTGCGTTTCCAGAGGATAAGAAGGTGTGAATGTCGTAATGGTGCAACGCAGAATCAGAGAAAACCGAGTGAATTTCCAGAGTCCGGTACATAGTGTTTCAGTAGATGCTGCCTAGTGTTGTAGAATGCTGCGAATGATGCTCTAGATCTTCAAAGGCGTCCACGCTTTTTAAGCATCAGGCGAAGAATAAGGAATGACGAGGCGAGGTGAGAAGTGGCCGCGTGCTCCGGTAATAAGTGCGTGCTCGAGGAGTGGATGAGAGGATGCAGAGAGTGATGACTTAATACGATAAAGGGACGAAGACGAGCTACTAACGAAAAAATTCCAGATAAAACGGACACGATTGCTTTATTTTCACTAAACTGTAATTATAAAAATTACTTCTCGTTTAATCGTAGCATAGATTAATCGGTCGCAGAATTAATCAATTATCTGAATAATCGATTAGCAGAGGTTTTCAATGAATCGAACGAGTTTAATTTATGAAATTCAAAATTTTTCTCAACGCGAAAAATGATGAAAAAGAAGGAAAGGAAAATGCTTACGCGAACTTAATGAAAGTATAATGAAGACGAACATTTCTACGAGCAGTCGCCTTATGAATTTCATTTCGAAATAGCAACAAAGAGAAAAAAGAAAACGAGAGTGCAATAATTTCACTTCTGAGTACATTTCCATGCGAGTGCGCATCAACTCGACACGCAATCTGCATTGCGAAACATTTCGTCGAGAACATTGCGCAACTTCAGTTTTGCGCGGGTTTTATTCTGCAAAATTAATTAATTGGCGATTTCTAGTATCGGCCGACGCAATTTCGATTTTACTTTAAAAACCGAAAGTCTGCGATGACACAGATGCTTACTGCATGCAGGAAGGTTTTCACCATAATTCGAAACTTTCTACTCAAGTGCACATCCTGTGGGCGGGCTCGTTCGTTTAGGTTCACCGACTCGTTTGTCCGTGCAGCGAGGGCGCAAACGTGCATTGACATCGAATCGCTGGCAACTGCTGTGTTAATTCGTCCCGATTTAGTACGATAAAACTGCCAACCGGAAGAGCCGTGCAACGTCTCAATAAAAAGAGACATTATCGATCGAGTATTATCGATTTTAGTTAGTAAAATAAAAAAAAAAAAAAGAAAAAAAAATAAAACTTGGAGATTTTATGGTAAAATAGGTGTAATGAGATTTTAATATCAGATTATTCTAACTCTATAAGTGTATTAAGGAAACTAACAATTAGAAGAGTGTGTGAATTGGAATTAGTTTCTGAAATCTCAATTAGAAATCTTTCCAATTGAGAATTCTGCCAAAATTTTGCTTCTTGAAATTCTAAATATCTTATTTAAACTATATTGTTATATAGTTACGCTATTATTATTATAACTATAGTTACGCTATTATTTGAAGAACGGTAGATTCTCTTAGATTTTAGCCAATTAACGTCGTAATCAAGATATGTACAATTTTTTTTTTTTCGCAGTCTTAAAGAGCTGATTTTGGATCGTAATGGGATCAAAGAGCTACCACACGAGCTCGTGCAGCTGAATAACTTGAGAAACATTTCCCTGGCTGGAAATTGCCTCAGCAGCTTGCAGCCTTTCTTCAACATGCGAGCCCTCGCGCTAACGGTACGTCGAACGCGTTTCACGAAATGATCAAACCGTTTTGTAATTCAAAAATCCGCGAGGCAAACACCGCGGAACGATGAGGCAACAGCGCCTTGTGCAAAGGATGTGATATACCAAGCTAAACGAATCGAGCAATTATTCCAATTAATTAACCTCAGAGAAAAGGATTGATCGGGAAACACGCTCTAGAAATCTAATCGGTGTGCTGAGAAAGATGCTTGTTATAGCTTTTTAATGAAAATTCGAGACAACTTTGCATCTAAAAAGATCTGAACTAAATAACATTATTGAACGGCTCTTGCGCCGGAATATTTGTCACAGGAAATATCTCTGCACAAACAATAACTGGCAGCAGAGAAATGTTGATAATGTCTCTTGAAACACGAAACACTTATCTAACTAAAATTAACAGGTGTTTCTCGATAACAAGATTGTTGTTTTTGATAATATGTGAATCGCGACCCCGCGTAAAAATATCTTATCGAATTTTTCGACAAACTTTCCTAACTTTCTCGCGTGATAGGAGTTTTTATAATTAAACACGCTAAAGAGAATGGACAAGATATGAAAAAATTTAAGAGATATTAAAGTAAAAATTCTGCACATGAAAATTTACTTGCTCGTGGAAAGTGTGTTCTGAAACGTTCATAAATCCAAGATTATTGATCTTACTAACCAAGTAAATTTAAATACCTCTGAAAAATTTCTGTTTTATTACACTTCCGACCCAGCTTAAAAAAGCCGGGTACACAAAAAATTGTCACATAGACTCATCAAATGTTCCCCTCCACGGAAATCTTTAGTAAAAGGCGAAAGATTTATACGTGATTTGAAGGGAAACCAGAGTAACGAATCGATCTTCCATTTTCCTCTATATACATCTTTGAACGTATTTTACTTTCGAGAAACTCGGTCAGTTGGGTAGCCACCTAGCGGCCAACTGGCGCGTACTCATACGCATGCGCGTGCGAAATTTGAAATTACTTGTAGAATATTATAAATTATAAATTATAAATATTTATAAATTATAGAATATTTTATAAATTAGGAATATAATCATTACGATGAATCATTAAATTGTATTTAATTAAAAATTTTTAAATTATTAAAATAATTTATATTAATTAATATATATTCTTTTTAGGACGTTTTGACGAAAACAGACCACAGCAAGGGCTGTAAGGATGACAAGAATAATCAGAATTTGTATAAAGTCAACTTGCGAAATAATCAACTAAAAGGAAACATCATACTTGGAAATTACGGAGTTGGTATCCTCATAATGATAAATATATAAGTACATACGTACGACTCTTAGCAGTAATGATTAATGACTTACGTTACTATTTCTATTTCTTCTTTAATCAAGAATTTAACGCATCTAGACGTCAGTGAAAATAGCATTGAGAAATTGGACATCAGTGCTCTTCAAGAATTGAGGAGCGTTCGTTGCGCGCGAAATATTTTAACAGAGCTGACGGTCTGCGGGAGAAATATCGTGTCTCTCATTGCCGGAAACAACAGTAAGGCACCTTCTTATTCTCTTGCCATGTACGCGTAATGGAAAATAATATTTATTTTTGAGAAAACCATTTGTTACTTTGCAGAATTAAAGAAGCTGACTATCGAGCCCGTGCCTGTGAATCTTGAACATCTAGACGTTTCCTAGTAAGTAAAAGCGAAATACTCACAATAATCAAACAATATCTCTGAAAATTTAACTTTTAATAAAATTATAAATTGAGAATGTACTAGAAATAGAACACAGCAGAGTGAAAAATCACTTAGCTGTTAATTAGTGTCATTGAACATTGTATTGAATTATAAAACTTTTGTACTTCAAATTACTCAGCTTTAAACTTAAACATTATTATTCATCTCTATCGCGAAGAACATAAAATACCAAGTGTGGAATAAGGGATGAAAGGACAATTTCTTAAACAAATAATATATTTCCTGGTCACGTTAGGGTCATGTAGCAGTATTGTAGTTTACTGAGCCTGGCTGCAAAGCCGAGAGCCACTACTACACAAAGTAAAATTAAATACTAAAAATTTTAGTAGTCGAACATAAATTTGCTACAGTCATCTGAACTGTAATCCTTACTGTGGTAATTTTTTTTTTATTTTAGCAACAATTTAGATGCTCTCCCCGAATGGATACCAGATCTACCTTTGCTGCGCGCACTTTTTGCGTCTCACAACGCTTTAACAGCCCTCCCAGACAGATTGTTAACGCAGCCGTCGAGACTGGAAGTCCTTCATCTACCCCACAATAGGCTACAAGCTCTTCCACCACCCAGGAAACCACTAAACATCGTTCACTTGACACTGCAAGACAATGCACTGACGGCATTGCCAACGAGTTTCTTCCTCAACACCGAAAAGTACATGAATGATTTCACCTGCTATATTGCACATGTATATTTCTGATAGAATACCTACACGAATATCCATATTTATAGGATGAAAGTATTGAATCTCTCGAACAATCGACTGTCCGAGCTTCCGCACTTGGGAGAAGGAAATAAAAACCGACACGCCAATCACAATTTGGAGAAACTGTATCTGACTGCGAATTGTTTGACAGACACTGCTTTGGACACACTTGCAAAATTGACTTCGTTAAGGGTTCTTCATATAGCCTACAATACTTTAGATACGCTTCCGGAAAAGTACGAAACTTGCAAACATTTATTTGTTGGAATATTGGATGTTTTACGATTAAAAGACTATTGATTGCAGCTGTATAGCTTCTTGGAGGGATCTAGAAGAATTGGTACTATCTGGGAATCGTCTTCAATATCTGCCCGACAACGTGGCCAATTTACGGCATTTACGCGTGTTGCGTGTCCACTCCAATCGGCTTCTAACTTGCCCAACGTTTAATAAAACAGCATCGTTGAAGGTAACTTTGTCAACGTAGGAACTTCTTTGGACTTAATTTCAATTCTCCTCTCAATGTCTTCTCTTAACGTTTTTGAATGGTTTTTTTTTAATAATCTAATATTTAAATAATTAAATAATTAAATAATTCTACTTTATGCAGGTATTAGATTTAGCTCATAATCATCTGGACAGGGTGAACTTGGCCACTCTGGTGCCACCGCAACTTCAATTTCTCGACATATCCTGCAATTCGAGGCTCCACGTGGACCCCAGACAATTCCAGGTCTATAGATCGCAACGACCAATATCCTTGGTTGATGTGTCTGGGCAAAATAGACCGAGCTTACCTTCTCACCCTCATCAGCAAGAAATCGTTTCCGCTGAAAAGGGGTTGGAACAGCCGTGGAGATTGGGTTTTTCAGAAACTGCTGGCTCTAGAGAAAGGTATAATGATAATGATAATATATAACAAGCGTATCTGTGCAAATATTTATTACTTTTACTTAATATTGTAACGTTTGTCAATTGAAAAGGACTAAAAAATATATGAAACAAACTCTCCTTTTCCCTTTCATGCGTTTATAAGAAATTGCATTGGGCACAAAAATGCAATACACATCGAATAAGAAAAATAATAGATATGATAAATATACTTGCAAAAAACGTAATCACGTGACTCGTGTGCACAGATTGTACGTGTCGCAAGTTCGAATGCCATCATTCTGTAACGTGGAGGGTCTGTTCGGTATATTCGACGGCGGTTCGAACCAAGAGGCGCCGTGCGCGCTCCAGGAAATGATCCCGCGCCTTTTGCTGGAAGAGAGAACCGTGCGAGAGACGTCCAAGGAGTATTTAAAATACACGTTACTGTCCGCTCATCGAGAGTTGAAGGAGAAAGGCCAGAAATACGGAATCGACGCTACTTTGGTGCACATTGTCAGAACCCAGGCGCAACAAGGATATCCGAAAACGTCGGCGAAATATTCGCTGAAGGTGGCAACTTCGGGTGACGCGAAGGCGGTTCTCTGTAGAGCCGCTGGCCCGTTAACTCTGGCAACTTCGAAAAAGGTCACCGTGAAAAATCAATTGGGTAACGCGGCCATGTTTCCTCTGGTGGTTCCCGATCCGACCTTCGAAGAGGTAGACCTGGAAGACGATGACGAGTTTGTAATAATCGGCAACAGAAGACTGTGGGAGGTGTTGAGCGTTCAGGAAGCCGTTCGAGAAGCCAGAGCGGAAGCCAGCCCCGTCTTGGCGGCGAAACGACTTCAAGATCTGGCGCAAGCATATGGGGCAGAGGACAATTTGAGCATCGTGGTGGTACGATTGACTGGGCCTAATCAGGGTGATTTGGATCAATTGATGAGGGAACTGCGACACGCGGTTGGAAAGAACAGAGGTCAAACAGAAGCCGGGTGTCCTTGCCCCTGTTGCGTGCCACCGGCGGCTCATAAACCACCAGGGCCTTGCTGTTGTCACGCGAGCGAAGGCTATTATTTGAACGGCGTGTTGAAAAGCATAGTGAATAGGTGAGATGTTCGTATGAAAGCAGAAATTCTAAAAAATGCTTAAGCAGATCTAGGCGGACAGGAATTAAAAGAGGATCGTTGAAAAGAAATGACCTGTAAAAAGCAACTGCAATGCAGAGTCATCTTTTAACGAGCAATATATAAATGTAAATGTAAGCGAGACGATTTTGTAATGCGTAGGTCGAACAAAGCTCACAACGAATCCGGTAGATATTTCAAGAACCGTCGATCGGCGCAGGAAAACGAAAGTCCACCGTACAAAGACGACAGAAGTTCACCGAGCGGCCAATCCGATCAAGCCAGCGACAGTACTTTTAAATCGAGACATCCTTCTGGCAGAGTCTGGTCCGGAAACGCCGCCTCCAGAGCCACGAACAAAGCTCGGCAGAACGTCCTCGTAAACGAAAATGGCACAAGAAAGGTAACCGAATATATATTTCTTTGTCTTTTTTGAACTGTATTTTATGACACAATATAATCACGCTCGGGGCAATATAATGCTAACATTAAGTTATTTATTTATGTATTAAAATCATGTTAAATGGCAGTGTAATAAAATGTCACAAAGGTATCTACCTGCTTAACGACTCAGGAGGACACTGTGTCCGAAAGATCCGGCGCCCTAAGCGAGGAACAATTCCGTTGTTGGGAGTACATGCTGGAACAAAACACTCAACTCCTGTTCGACAAGGAACTGGACACCCTGACGAGGACACCTTTACGTCGTGGCCAATCGAGATCCACGCCTCAATTAACTGGCAATTTGCCTTTTCTATCGAAAAGGTTTGGAAGTGCCAGATCCTTTAATCCTTCTTTGCCGAGACCGCCCATCGTTCGATTTGGCAGTGGAAGAAGATTACTGAACGGAGGACCAAATGCAGCTTATTTCGGCAGTCTACAGAGGCTAATGCCGTATAATCTCGAGTATGATTTCGCTGTCATTCAAGAAAGAAACGGATTGGATTCGTTGGAGCAGGACGCGACGAGAATGCAACAATATTGGGGAGTAGCCACGACTGAATTGTGATGCGACAGTCGGTCATGCTTTTGTTGCAATCGATGGATTTTGAAATTGTGTCGTGATACGGAAAGCTGAAATAAGCATATACACGCGTTATCGTTATTTACAATGAATGTGAGGGATTAGAAGGTAGACTCATCTTTTAAGCCGAAATGCGAAAAATAAAAAGCGGCAATGAAATGCGACAAATCGATAAGACTACGTGAGCATAGTAAGTGATTTATGCACAAGTTGTCGAACTTTACTAACTGATTGTAACAATAGAGACCTAACAAACAGATATTTCATTAAATATTACAAGATTATTTCTCTTGTTTCTATTCGTTTCAAGGAAAAAAAATTTCATTGTCGTGTCAAAAGGAGACAATGCAAAGATGTACTTATACATTTTATAGATTTATTCTAGAACTTATTGGATTTATTATTGCATATTTTAATCTAGATTTATCTCACAAGATAAATTAACACTCGAAGTTTTTTATCATGTTTGTTGATATATCGTTGATATGTTATTGCGTCATTCGAGTAATTGGTGGGGTTATTTATATTCAAAAATTAAACGAATTTCACTGAAGAATCATATTGAAGCTTACCTAAATTTATACGACACACTATCATATCTTTAAGCAAAGGAATAAAAACTGTTCTTATTTATAGAGCCTCGTTGCCAAATATTACATTTACGAGTTAGAATATATTTTTCTAAATATTGTATATTCAGCAAACATACTTGTAGCAAACGTAAAATATGAATATCACTACAAGCTGTAAATATAAAAAAAAAATTAAACTGAATACATAGAAAAGTATATTCAGAAATTGTATATAAATATGATGTATTATATATTCTAACATGAACATACAGTTGAAACAACTGATTAAGATAAGCTATCAAAAGACAAACTACAAATTAAGCATTTGTATGAGATATACATATGATTTATATAAGAAATACATAGTGAAGCAACAAATAAGGGGATCTCACACTGTTTGTACAAACTGTATGATTACGTATTAGAACGAGTTTGAGATATCGCTCAAAAAATAATTTCGAAATTGTTTTTCGAATATTCTTCCATTCTCGTCCTAGTTGAGCATTCTGTGATTAGGCGTCATTTGCCTCTACATAATGTGGAAGATTATATAATTTAATAGTAAAAACTTAATTTTAAGTTCGATTTGTAGAACTTAATCAGATTCCTTTGAAACGATTATTATCAAAAATATTTTTGTAACGATAAAAAATGTAGCGACTACTGTACCTGAAGCTACCAAATAAATAATCAAACAATAAAAACGAAAGATTTATTATGATATATTGGAATAACTTAATTAATATGGAAATGTAATTGTAAAATCGTTGACCCGGAATATAGTACATCATATAGTTAGCTTGTGTATTTTCCATCGACTTCAAATGAACACTCGGCATACTCAGACATCACTTTGTCTTGTTATCTCCGTTTTGTTACCATCTAATGTCTTTTAACATGTGGCCTTGATAAGCATTATCTTATTTGCTGGCCAGCATTAAACCCTTTATTTCTCTATATCAATAAATGTTTTTTTTTCTACCAGATCAGTGAATTGGATTAAAATGTATTTACATATACGAGGAACTTTCTTTTCATCTCTTTGTCATCTCGATAGATTTCAGATATCCAAGACGATATGGTTGACCTGAATTGAAATAAGCACGAGACTTCGATTAAGCACGAAATCTCGAATAAAAGATTCATTCGAATATATATGCATCGGATTAACTCTCACTTCTTTTGTTGAATATCCATCGAATATCATTCTATGACAATAAATTATTATTAAGACAAGACCGCTCAGTAGTCGATAATACCTACAACTTTTTCTACTCGAAAATAGTGTTTTGTTTGCAACCCTATCATAGTGTCTGTATACGCAGAATACAATATATTATACCGAAATTTTTTATTAAAATCTCGAAAACTATTAAATAAATATCCGAAGCTAAAATTTTTGTATTTATTATTGTTTGTTTTTTTATATAATTATGTTATTATTTGTTTTTTTATATAATTCTCTAACATATAATACATAATTCTCTAACATATAATATATAATATATATCTAACATATATTATATAATTCTCTAACTGCATTCTAAAAGTTCTTTTAACATATAATTCTTATCTAACATTAATATGATCGCAATTAACTAACATTAGTGCTCTGTAGTACATAAGCAAAAAGTGAATAATACATTAAAACTTTCTAGAGCAAATTACAATTACTAAATAAAAATTATAATTCTTCATAAATAACTGGAACGAGTATAAAAATATTAAAAATATCAAATATGAAGTACATAGTGATATAAATAACATGCATATGGCGCGCGTATAGTACACAGTGTGACATTGTATCGTATATACGTATATATATATATATACACGAGCATAAATGTAGAACACAACGAAGAGTCACGTGCGTAGGTATAAGAAAAGAGAAGTGGGGGGATTGTAAGATTTGTATAACTGATTGAAAGTCGATGCCAACAGTCAGTAGTACTTCGACGACGGCAGAGGTTATTTGTTGTGTTTGAACGATTCGTGCCTCTGTTTTTCATTCTCTTTTTTCCCTCTCTATCTTACTTTGTTACTCGTTTATAATTGTGTTCGTAACATTTGTAAAAGCTTTATCATCACGATGTGTGCACATGTTATACATTTCTCTGGTGGCTACTTTTTGTAGTTAGTTCGTTTGCTGTGACATCTAAAGAGAAGCCTGGTACGACGATACACGTGACAGAACTTGGTGAGTAGCAATATGTTATTACTGTTAACGGTATTATCACGAGGATGCTTTCCAATTATTTGGTTTCTGATACGTGACAGTCTGTGCGATTGCGTCAATTTGTTTTCAAAGCGTATTCTGAAATTTATCTCTACCTAGTTAATCATTCTGTGATTTCTGTTCCGTTTGCGTGTTAAAATCCAAATTGATAAAGCAAGTAGTTCTATTAATTGTAAACGGCAAATTAATTCCTGTTTATCGTGTGTCGTAATTTACAAGTAATTGTCGAATCATTTCTTTGGTATTTAGAACACACTTTGGTCATGAAATGAAAACTGATGCGGAACTCCATGCTTTATATTGAACGATGAGTTTTCAAATCGATCATTTCTCTCCCGATTGTCTTATAGATTCTTCAATCTGATTTAATCTTTATTAGATTGCTTCTGTTCGTCACTGCGAAACCGTACCTGAAACCGTACAACGAAATCATGAATCCTTTTACAATAAATCTAAAGTCCACGGACAATGAGTCGGTGTGAGTCAATCACGAGGCGTTACTTTGAAAAAATTTACGATTACGTCGTCTGCACGCGCAACAAAAATAATCGTAATTTATTTTCAATAAATTTTTCGTCTACCATCGTATTTGTTTTTAGAACTTTGTACATGTCACTTTCAAGTATTGGAATAGCAAAAAAAAAAATTGTTCGTTATCTTATTTGTATGTAATTATATTTTATCGCTTCGTTACTATTTTTTTAACTCTCTTTTTAACGAATTCTTTTGCCTTCGAGACTCCGTTAAAAATAACAGCTGGAATGTATATTACCAAAGAAATACGACTGCATGCTTTAGATTGCTCGACTAGACAATGATTCGTGGAACAGAGATACAATAATATAAGCTAAAATCTTCTGGAATTTTGTTGAGATTCCACGAAAGAAAATGAAACAACTGATTCGCCATCGAGCAACGCGTAACAATAATAATTTTAGAAATTGAGTTCGTGGTATCGAATGAATTAAACAATGGATTTGTTAATCTAATAAGTTAATAAATAAGTGATATAACCATAGATTTTGTAAGAATGAGTGATAAGTGAATAAATTTCTTCTACAGACTTTGAACTCTACAGACATTATTTTTATTTCTAATTGTATAAAGAAGACTTGATTTTAATTTATTACCATAAATTTTACCATAATATAGCATATATCTTTTCTGTACATACATTTCAGATTAAATTAATTTTTTAATTTCCTTGTTAGCTGTGAAATGACATATATTATGCTAAGAGAGTGTACAATTTCATCACGTGCAAATATTGCACAAGACTGATTATAACATTGTATACTATGTAGAAAAAAACTTTCAAATTGAATCAACAGTATTACGCGTATATTCCTTAAATTTAACCCTCCGACTACTGAATCTCAGCCTCCAGTGCTGGAGTTCACACGGATATCCACTAATTTCATATTCAGGATCGTCCGGACGACTCACCGATACTCTTTAGAGTGTAACGGTCGCTTGAGCCGAGGTCCTCACCGATATTGTACCAAACAGTAACAAACACCCAACTCATATAGGAACGTGGCGCACAGCCACATGATGCTCGTACGATAGCGCGATCACTAACACAAGCAATTCCCAGCACAGATCTGGAACTGTGACTCGGGCACAGCAGGCGGAGGGTTAAAACGCGAGCTAAGAAAAATCATAAGCAGATAGTGTTTCAATATTTCTAGAAAAAAATATGTATACATTTTATGTATACAATATGGTAATAATAATAAGAAGAAAAAAATAAATATAATTTATTAAATTATTGCCAATAAGAAGAAATTTTTCAGATAAAAAAATTAATTTTGTAAAATGACATAGTACGTATAGTTTATAATGCATCTTATAATTTATTAATTCATGCACAACTGTTTAGTTACTTATGGCAATGATTGCTTGTAATTTTAATCTTCCACTGAATAATTGATTTCAAATGTTTCAAATGTTTCAAATTTTGATCATGATATCGTGCAATGAAATGGAAATATGAATGAAAAATACTTTTAATTTCATTTATCGCACAAGTGATGTTTGTAAAAAAAAGAAATATAAAGTACTTTATATTTACACTAATTGCAACATTAGCAAAGTAACGAATGTATACTTACTAAGTTTACTATATTTTTTACAATGGTAATAGAACAATGGCATCAGAATAACTGTTGTCTTGTTTCCTTAAGTGGTCTTTTTCTGCATCTTTATTAAGTATACATCACTATGTATATCTACAATTCGAACAGATCGATAAGTAACATAGCATGACTTTCACAATGGTTGATCATTACTCAGTCGTCTCTGAGTTACTTGTTTCTTTACCTTTATTTTACTTTCCCGTTTTCTAAGTAAAAATCCAGATAAAAATTCTTCAGGTTATCTAAACGTATGAAATTACCGATTAATATAATTTTCATTAAAAAAAAAAAAAAAAAATGATGAGTGCAGAAAAATACTTGTTTTTATTTAAAAGATTGAAATAGCAAAAAATTGATTTTATTCTTCAGAATTTATGAGAAATAATAATGTTTAAGTGGAATGCTTTCGATTATTTAAAGTCTCTATGTAGCTTGTTGCCAAGATTTGTAAGATATATTTACGATATGACCGATATTTTGTTGACTTATTTAAAAATGAAATGAATACCAAAAAAGATACAGCAAATTAAAATACGCTACGTAGCTATTGTAATTTGAACAAATATCAAGAAGAAATTCAAGACAGAGCTAGAGAAATGCTGAACAAAGCATTGAATTGTGTCCAAATGATACATATTAGAAACATCTAATTTAAATTTTATTTTGGTATACTTATTTTAAAAAAATAGCTGCTTTAAAAATAAGCTAGCATCATATATATGTATGTATAATCAAGTACATCCATGATTTATAAAATGAACTTTGAAATATAATAAATTAAAAAGTACATCAAAACCATATTATTTAAAATAATTTGTGAGAAAATTAGTTTTTTAAAAGGAAATACAATATTTATAAAATTAAATAAATGTTAACTAATTATAGACATTACAAGAGAAATTCAATATCGTAGAATACATACGTATCGTATCTTTAGCTGATACAGTGCAAATTCCTTTGACAAAGGAACGATATTGATTTCTTCATTTGCATCAGTACATTATTGCGCTTCGAACAGTATATTAAATTCTGTTGAAAGAACCTTTAAAAAAGAAGTTACACAGTTACATTTCTCTGAATATCTTTTACTAAGACATAAGACTTTTACTTACTGTTTCTTCCAATTTATCTTAAATTATTGCTCTTAAAAAAACGTGTTCATCGCACGTTGGAAAATAGAAATTCTAAGTATAAATACTCGCAAGTGGGGGATCCACGTGAAAAGAAATTTCGAACCAGATTTTCTTCGTTACATAAAATGTAAAAAATACATAAGTCAGTTCTAAAGTACATAAATAAAATTATTTACGTTAACTAAATTAATTAAAAATTAAATGCATGCAAATATCTTCATTTAGATTTAAATAATTTAATTAAAACCTTAATTATCGGGATGAAAAGTCACATATATATATAGTCGCATCATGGTGTTAATTAATTTCTTCTTTTAATCATGATTATTTCTACTATGAAAAAAGAAATATGTAAAATCTTGATTGTTTTTTCAGTCCCAATTATTTTTCGTAATTGTTAGAAACAAGTTATTTAGAACTGGCAATTGTAATTCTTAACAACTTAATAATAGCTGACTCTCTAGCTTTGTACAACTCTTAACCATACCTATACACGTTTCATATTTCAATAGAACTCAAAGTCGAACTAGACCATTACATGTTCTAATATAATGCATGCAGATACATCATCATTTTTCTAGACTGCAATGCAAGAAATTCATGATTTATTTCATTAACGCACGTTAGTGCAATACATAATTTTGTTACCTTGGCATTGGTACAACATAGTATATCTTAGATAAACGTATATTTTCATACATATTATTTTCATATTTATATAATGCACTATAAATTATCATTTTTAATATCATTTTATCTTGAAACCTAAAAAGTAAAAATTATTATATAATAAATTAGTTGATATTATTACTAAAAGCTAAATAGAAACGACAATGATTGTGCTTGATTCACATAGTTACCAGTTATACTGAATTGAATGTTGAACTTATTATATACAATTGCGAAAAAATAGGTAATCATAATGTCGGCGCATCATCCTCTGTCGAGTAGTTTCCTCTTTTAGTACGTCACTACTCTTATCGTAGCTCCCCTGTGGTCGAACATTTTTTTTAACGAATGTTTTCCTGTTGCCCACTACTACCCTTCTTCCGAGTTGTGTTAAAATTTTTATTATACGCATATTTAAAACTTTTTATATATTGAATTGAATACGATAGGTTTTTAAATACCATTTAACTTACCATTTACTTACTTTTCATCTATTTTCCTCTAGCTGAGGTAACGAAATTATGTAAGTTTAGCATTGTCTAAGTATTGTTGCCAGAGGTATATCGTTAAAAATTGACGTATGCAAATTGTTACAATTAGGTGTGGAAATGTAACGTACCGGTAGGAAGTCTTTCAAAGTTGAACATTGATTTATTGCATACTACGTACGCAAATAATAGAAGCTCTTAAGCGAATATGAAAGAAGCGTTTAAAATTTCACGAACGATAAACTCGATGTTACTTGAAATGAAACATTTTCGAACTTGAACTTCAATAAATTAGAAACTGAATCTTGAATATTACTTTCAGCGAAATAATTTATTGAAAAATATTATATTCTTATGCAGAATTATTTTATTCAAATCAATTCAAATTATGTTTTACTCGATAAATATATCGTTCGCCGTGTTGCCGCAATATGGCGGACAGGAAGTAACTACTCGAAATTTCACCGAGGATCATTTAATGATCATTGCGTCTTTGCATGATATAATAGAATTTTTAACTAACTAGCAAGTATAGTTGGTAGCGTATTAATAATCACATAATCGGAAATAAAATTGATACATAATAGAGCTTCGGTATCACGACCAGTCAGTCAGATTTGAATTAGAGATTCTACTGAGCTCATTGTTGTCGTCACTTCCTCGTTCACGGCGTTGCCAAATCGATCATTTATTTCACTCGCAGAAGGAAAACTATTGCGGTATAGTGAGTGCTCTACTCGTGAGTCGTTTCGTGTCAGTTAAAATAGTTGTGTTGTGTTGTGAAGAGACGAATTATGACAAATTCGATGAAAAATATGGAGCGGTTGCTCTGGGCATTCGTTAAATAACACGCGTTCTTGCGTGAGGTGAATACCAGGCTGCCAGTCAAACATTGCAAGTAAAATCCGCTGGGCTTTCTCGACACAAATAGGTAAACTAACGATTCTCAGAATTGGCACAAGTCGATGTTCAAGATCGATTTCGAGTCGGAGACTAAAAATCTTCACTCTTATTTGCGAATTTCTTGTTTGTCGAATTTCTTTTCCATTCTTTTTCTCGTCTCCGACATGTTTAAACGCTGATTTCAAACTTTCTTGCATCAACATATTCCCATTACTTTCTCACTCAAATTGCGAAAAGGTCTTTTGTTACGAATGGGCAACAATTTAGAAGTTTTACCTCGTTCGTTTTACACATGTTGCTACACTTGTGACGTGAAACGAACATTATTACATCTTCACCAATATTTATATATTACTAACACATGTGTCGTCTAAATTCATTATTCAAATTATCGTCGAATTTCATTTCGCTTCTATTTCATGTATTGATGCTCGATTACAGGTGCAGTTTTCATACTGTATTTTGTTTATATTGCGCTGTATCATGTTATATTTGACTAGCACAAAGTATACTTATAAATTTATTATGTAAATATGTTGCAATAATTTACTATTATCACAAATATACATGGGGAAAATAATGTAATAATTTCTTAAAAGTATCAGCAACATATGATAGTTGTAAAAATATGTAAAATGTATCAAATTATTTAACACGTTTCCCTAATTTATATTCTATAAAATTTATTTTAAATAAATTTAGGTAATCTAAGAAAAAAATTTATATTACAATTGAATTATTTCTAATGATTAATCATAATATGTCATATTATTTTAAAAGTTTCAAAGGTTATTTATTGTTGTGGGGTAGTGTTTGCTCTTGTACATTTTAATTTGTTTTAATACAACCATGCTTAAATCTTTCTGATAAATACATAATTTTCTAATAAAATTTAGTAAATATAAATAAATAAAACAATATAAACATAAGTATATTTCAAGTATATAAATAATTGTTTGAGAATCATACACTTTCTAAATTCAAAAATATTAAATTATTATTATTTCATGTCTAAAGTACAAGGATACTTATCAGAATGCAAATAGATTGTATTAAGTGTCCTATATATTAAATTTAAGAAATAATTACTAATATATTTTATTTATAATAATACTTTTCAAAAAGGAATTTACAGATATTGGTTTTCATGAAAATTATATCCACATAATAATATCCTATTTGATTGATATTCTAAAAACTTCTTAACATACCTTACAACAAGACCCTTATTACAGAAAATTAGCTGATGTGAATTGAACACACCTTGAAACACAGAAAATTGAAAGAGAAAAACAGTGAGAAAAAGAAAACATAGTAATATGCAGCGGATGTGCTTTGTAGAGAACAAAGAGGAGGAGCAACTAGAGGTGCCACGTGAGACTAACTTCATCGAGGTGGCGACTGAACATACATCATCAGACATGAGGGGATCTAAAAGAGACTGGATTTTTAGAGTCCAGGTAATTATTACTGATAAAAGAATTCATTAATAATTTTAGAATAATTTTAATTTCTTTTGTAATTTTGCCATTTAGGTAGATAAATTAGAAAAAAATGAAGTTCTATATGTGGTGGGTAATTTACCTGAACTGGGTGCTTGGAATCACAATCAGGCAATTCAATTGTCGCAAGAACATGGCAGTCGGGATTCTCCTATACTTTTTGATAATAACAGTAGCTTTTACAGTGATGATGGACATGAAAATGCTGGAGATACATTTGGTGATGATGAGTAAGTAAACATACTTTTTAGTTATTTATGGTGTCTTATTGTTACCTCCAGTTGCTCTTTATAGTTAACACAATTCATGACATGTTTAATTATAATAAATTTGTTTCATTTAAACTTTGGACAGTGGATGTCCATGTGTTCGGATCTAGATTCACCAGCCAAGGATTAATATTTCTTATAAAATTCAGTTATCATTATTGCATTTCATAGTATATGAAAATAGAATATATTAATGTAAATAATATATTAACATATGCGTAATGTATGTATTGAAATTTATAAATTTCAGAGGTGGACAGATATTTTCACAAAAAGTTGCACTTCCTATTGATGCTGATGTCGAATTTCGATATTTCGTTGCTGTTATCTGTCAATCTAATGGTACTAAAAATTCGGCCAAGACTCTCATTATTCGCAGATGGGAGACTCATATGATACCACGTTTTATTAAAAAAAACAGTATGTAATTAAGTCTGATTAATTAGAAAATATTTCTGCTATGACAGACTACAAGATTAAGTAAAAATATTTGTTATAGCCTCTAGCAATTTTACCAGTGATACATTGCCAAGTCCTGAGAAGTTCGGATATTACAATGGCTACCTCAAAAGTGAACGGGGTTGGTTGACAGATGAAACTGTGATACAATTTAAGCTTTTTAATAATCCGATTAAGTTGTGGAAAAATCGACTACAAAATAGAAAAGTTCATATTAAGGTGTGTTTTCAAATTATATATCTCTACATTGATATTTCTATATTAATGTTTAAGAATTGAGAATTAAAACTTTTTTTTTTTATTTAGATGACACCTGTAAATCTAGTTAGGCACAATTCCTTAGAATTACAACAATTCGGAGGCGATTGTGTAGATGATAGTCTTTCTATGGATACGCAAGACATTGTTGACCAACCTGCCTTTAGTATTACAGAAATTGCGGTATGTTTTTTTTGATGTTTTTTTTTTCTGCAAAAATTTATGACTTATTTTTGCAATAATATATTCTTATTTTAATTTTAGGCAATGAATGATGAAGAAGCTCATTTCAAGATGCAGGAGCAATTTGGTCGAGCTTATAACGAAGACGAATTTATTATCTTCAATGTTGCAGTCCGATATCCTGAAACTATTGTAAGTAATCATATAAAATGCCTCATCAAAAAAATCATAATACACAACTCGATGAATAACCATTGGTTAGTATTTATTGCTTGCATTACTTATAATTTTTATAACATTGCATTATGTACATAGAAGAGATCTCCAATGTTTATTCCAAAGCAGCTTATTAATCTTTTATATGGACAATTTTACAGATAGAAACATCAAAGACTTTTTCTTCAGTAATATATCGCATAAACTAAAAAAACTGAAAAAAATTAACTTAATCTCCAAACGCCTTCTATATATCAATGTCAAAAACTAATTATAAAAATTAATACTCTTCTCGAAATCATTCAACTTTTGTGTCTAAAACATTTTTGGATACAGTTAATCATTTAGAAAATATTTCAACTTTTAGTTTTAGATGACTCATCCGATATATAATATATAGAAAAATATACAAGATTAAAGAACAAAATCTTTATATTAGATATCCAGAAAAATTTTTGCCGTATTTTCATGCGAAAAATTAAATATTCTTGTTTTTAAATGAATTTATTCATCAGAATATGAACATATTTTATAACTTTTTTCCAGCATTTTAATACAAACACTGCTCTTATAGAAATCTTTTGTTTTATCGCAGAAAAATTTTGACACTTCTTCTTTCAGATCACTTTCATTATTGAATTGCTTATTTTTCATATGGTTATCCAGATTCAGAGACAAATAAAAATTTATTGGTGAGAGATCTGACGAATACGATGGATAGAATAATCTCCTATTCAAATTCCACTATCTTGCCATAAATTATCTTTACTAAATAAGATCAGATGTCATCCTCAAAGAATAAAACTTTCTTTCATTTATCCATGTTTTTTCTGTAATTTTTCTTGAATTCCTAACTAATCACAATGGATGTTGAAAGTAATTTTTCCGACTTTTGGAAAACTCGTAATGATTCCTGTAATCCACCAAATACAAAACAAAGTTGCATCTTTGACATTTGTAGCAGAGTCATTTGGAGATAGCTAATGACGAGAACTTTTGTAATTTGAATACATGATCCATTTCTCATTGCACATTATGTATTGTATATACACATTACTTGTCAGTTAGAATTATAATCAACAAAAATTGACAAGAACTTTTCTGGGGTACCTAATATGTATGTATATGATATCTTCTTTTAGCTTATTGATATTAATGACGAAAGCACATTTTTGTACATTGTACATTGGTGTAATGATGGATGTACATCAATGTAAATGGCAGATAAATAATGAATAAAAAGATTAATAAAAATTATATGGCAGAGCAATAAATTACAAACTAGTGGTAATTCATACAAAAGATTAGACACACTAAAAATACGCATTGACCATACCATGTGAGTTTTCAGTAGACCACGAGTAGGCCGGCCACGTCTTCTCTCGCGACTTGTTCAAATTACTTGGTAAAAGATAATTAAACTTGTTCAGCAGCTATTGCCCTCCTTGGAAACCAGAAGCGATGTCACATGCACTGGCCTGGGACGAAGACAACCTTCAGCTTTGTACAAAGCAAGACTTCTGGTGCAAACGTTGATGCTAACATGCAATCTGATGTATCGATGCTAAGCATCGTCTACCACTTTACATCTGTGTCACATGACATCACACAGAGATATGATGGTTTTGATTGTCGTTCACCCTACCGTACCTATCCTTAGGCTAGTCTCTCGTAAAGCTGCAAAAATTCTCTAAAGAAAATCGTGTTATCGTAGTTCGGGCCTAATTCGACAATATTTATCATGAAAATGATGCATTCTACTCGTTATGTGAAATCAGTTTACGTGAGCCGCAGCCGTCCTAAGCAATCCTAAGAATTTAGAGATATCAACGCTGTCACACCTCATATCCATCTGTGTGCGTCGAAAATGGTGAGGCTCCCATCCTATATCCTTTTAGTGTACTACTAATATTTTCTAGCTCTGACCAACTCTACTGTACCGTACGTGACACCGCTGCGCAGCCAATGCCAGACTAAGCTGTCAGAATCTTCTGAATCTGAATTACAAACTTTGCAGACTTGATATCGAAATTTAATAATGAATGATCAGCAGGTGTTGCGGGATACGCGTCACCAGGCAGAGTACAGCATTTGGCAATTATTGGTCTGGTTCATTGCTAGATTATGTAGGAAATAAATTATTGTCCATTGTTTTACCATTTATTAGTAATTTGTTGCTCTTGCCTACAAATTATTTGAATCTGCCAAAGAATTAAAAAAAAAAGTTTATGGAGAAGCAAAAGATGTATAACAATGTCTTTGATGATAATTTGAATTTAATTCCTACGATTTTTAGTGATCAAGGATCTTTAATAATTTGCCATAAAATTTTACCTATATTAGAATCTCTAATTCTCTTGTTTCTCAGATTTAAAATATTAAAAAAAAAAAAAATTTCTTCAAATGTCCTTGATCATTGGACTTAATTAATGTTGAAGCAAGTCTTGTTATGGATGAGCAAAAGTATTGATGCAAGCATTTTGGTGTTGTTATAAATAATGGTATTTTTCCATGTATATTAAGCAGACTGTTTTTTCAGGCATATTTAGTGGACTACTACGTGTACAGCTCAAGGTGTTTTCCAGGAGAACCACCGAGTCATATTGGTTTCAGCTACATCTTGCCTAGCACATTACAGTCCAGTGTTGGGCTTTTAACAGTACCAATTACAAGCACAAAACATAGACCAATCGGTATGTTTACTTTTTTTTTTTTAGTATTGAAAATTATTAATAATTGTCATAAATTTTGCTTTTTTCTTTAGGACAACTTACATTGGAGTATGTTGTAATAAAATCAATTCCGGATTATCCATGGGACATGAGTATTTCATATGCAAAACATTGGGAACAACGGTGGTCTGGCCTGGATGTAGGACATAGAGGTTTAGGTACATCTTTCCAAACAAAAAAGTACGTTAATCTCTTTAAAGTTCTATTAAAAATATATTTCTTTGAAATTATTATTTGAATGCTAAAATTTATGTATTACAATTTCTTTATAGCTGTGCTAATGTACGTGAAAATACAATAGCTTCTTTAAAGACTGCATCGTATCATGGAGCTGATATGGTTGAATTTGACGTTCAATTATCTAAAGATCATATACCGGTCATATATCACGATTTTTATGTTTCTATTTCATTGAAACGTAAGAAACAAATAGAAGCTATGGACATGTTGGAAATACCTGTTAAGGACCTTACACTAGAACAACTACATTTATTAAAGGTAATTCGTATTTCAAAGTATATTTAAATTTGAATAATTTATATTATTTTCATCAACATCGTAGTTTCATTTTTATAATTATTTACAGATTTCAATATTTTCAACGTGAATACAATGGGTTTTATTTTTTTATTTTATTCTATTATCTTTTTTCTATTTAAAATTGTTAACAATTAATACATGCGTAATACAAACTAAATATTTGATATTAAGTATATGAAAAATAAGGGAAAATATTGTAGGATTAATTTCATTAATCATTAAGGAATGTTAACCAAAATGTCACCATAATCATTTAACTACATAATCATTAATGAAATAACACATCTAATATAATCTCTCGTCTATCATTAACCATATAGACTGCGGCTTCTAAATAATGCTACGCGAATTAACAACTTGCTTTTTATGTCCTTTTTTTGTATTAAGGAAAAATCGATCACTTCAGGGGTTGTATCGTATGTAGATACACAGACATGCAATCATGCATTTACAAGTGTAACAACATACCTATTCGTATTTGTCTCTTTTTAATATTCAACAGGATTTTTATTACCCTGGAGACTCGTTGGGTAAGGTGCTGTATTTCGTTGATAAAGCTGAGCAGGGGGTTAACCAACTGGTGAGCTTTCATATCGCTTGCGCCGCCTAACTTGTCGCCAAAATGTATAACAAATTAGTTATTTAAAGAAAAAAACTTGATGCATGCTTATTTAAAATTTATTCTAAAATCGACTAAAATTGATTTTTAAAAACCACATCACTATAATGTCGTATATTTACATATATGCTTTGATTAAAAGCTAAAAGCTTAATCTTGATATCGAAGTCATTTAATCGAAAAGTATCTTTTTACTATTGTAATGTCACCAAACAATCTTTTTACAAATATGCTTTAAAAATCTTAAAAATCATTTTTAATAATGTTTCACCAGTTTCATTCCCCTGTAACTTCACGTATTTGCCTCCGCGTGTAGGCGCAAAACTTCTCATCGAAAAATGTATAAAAATAACACATTATCACAGCATGTGAGTAATATCATGAAAGACATGATATTATTTTTAATATATTCACATGACTTCGGAGTTTGCTTTCGATTTGCTTCAAAAAGTCTCTTGCGTCAAACATCGTACAACCTTTACCAACCTTTTATGATCTAACAGAATTGTATTAATAAAATGTTTCATTTTATACCTTTTTTTACAAAACAAAATTTTCTTGCAGGTTTATCACGTGGCTGAAGGTCGAGAAAAAAATCCAAAATTTTTTGATGAAGATCTAGAAGATCATCAACCATTTCCGACACTACAAACCGTATTGCAGGAATTAGAACAACATGTTGGATGCAATATTGAAATTAAATGGACTATGCAGTTGAAGGTAAAAATAATAAATTTATTTTTTTATTTAATTATTTAACATTTCTTTTATTTTCTTACGGAAATCGTAATATTATTTTAACAGGACGGTACGTTCGAGCTTAACCATCCTTTCGATCTCAATCTATATTTGGATATTATATTAAAAGTCGTCTTAGAATATGGAGGAGATAGGAAAATCGTCTTCTCATCATTTAACCCAGATATTTGTGCCATGATCCGTCTTAAACAAAATAAGTATCCAGTAGTATTTTTAACACAAGGAATTACTTCAAAATATCCTACTTATCATGATCCGAGATGTCAAACAGTACCAATGGCTGTCAGACACGCATTAGCTGCTGATATCTTAGGAATTAATGTCCATACCGAAGATATTCTTCGAGATCCGTCGCAAGTTAAATTTGTAAAGGATGCTGGTTTAATCATTTTTTGTTGGGGAGATGACAATAACGATAAAGATACGATTAAACATTTAAAGAAACTTGGTTTGCATGCAGTCATCTATGACAAGTGAGTAATCTTTAAACGTGTAAATTATTGATATACTATAAACAGGATATGATATACTATATAGTATTATATACTATAATATTTTTTTACAGAATTGATGAATATAACGCAAAGGAAGTTAAGGAAAGTATATTTTTGGTTGATGCAAGAGAAAATCAAAAGGCACTAATTGCTTTGGCACATCAAAATTGTCCATCACAGCCTCAAATTAATAATTCTTTAAACACAGAGAAGGTTAGTAATAACAACTGCGAATATTCATATTCTTAAAATTATAGGAGAGAAGTAAACGATTTAATTTGTTCTAGGATTATTATATGGATGTTGATAATTCGCAAAATATGATTACAACTACGTCAACTGCAACTTCACTTGCATCTTTTGGTAAGAATAATGTTGGTGATGATAATATATATCCTGTGTCAACTGTTAAATTACCAAGTACATGTGACCATCAGGAGAGCCAAGAAATTAGTGAGATGACAAAAGATTTCAGTGTTTGTGCACAATCTTTCGGCCACTCGGCAAAAGCTAAAAGTATATCAGACATAGTTTGTGGGCAGACGACGTTACCAGAAATCTATGGAGAGGATGAGTCTGCCAAAGACTGTCTTTGATGTTTCTCCTTTAAGAAACCATTTATGTCATGGTTTTGACATAGAAGATACTACCTAGAATAGGACCTATCACAAGAAAAAGGAGGAAGCCGAAGAAAATTTTTTGTAATTCATAATTTACTATAATATTTACATCAAAGGGGTTAAACACATCCGATTTCCCCACCAGTCCTAGGATCCGTAAAATTGGATCACCTTAACGGCCATTACACGGAATGTATTCATATAATGTGCAAGAAAGACGACTGATTGTATTTTTAATGTTATTTTATCATTCCTGCAATCGGTCGACTTAATTGTTCATTGCATATTATGTCTTACTTAAAATTCTTATAATATGGCCTTTTTTAAAACTGATCAAATCCAGTGTTGGCTGTAGAAAAAGATATCGACTTCAGTTATTCTGCCTATGGTAGATGAATACAGAAGTCGTAAAGTTTTAGTACAAATATCTTTTATTTAGTTCAAAGAAGTCACCCCTCTCGTGTATTTTCCTTCCTTTATTAATTAAATACTAATTTAAAACAATAGAAATTGACAAAAACATAACAAATATATGACGTCACTTATTATTCTTTTTTTTTTTTGTAAATTATCGAGAAAAAATTTAGAAAGAATGATGCGATTTGACAGCTTTAAATATTGAAAAAATTCTTGGTAATTAATTTTCGTAAATATGTTTCAATTTTATTTATTTATGTTTCAAAATATTTTATGACAAATTTAAAAAAGAAAACAATATTCCTTTACATTTCTTTTAAGTGAAAGATTTTTGGAAAATATTGTGTGCGAATATAAAATCAATATAATTGTAAAAAAATTTCGCTTTCTCCATATTAAATAATAATATGGTGATTATTACAAATGATCTTTTCATCTTTATACGATAGCCGTCTTTAAAAAGTTCAAAAATTGATTTCTTTTGACAAATAATGATTGATAAATAGGTACAATTATGAAATTTAAAAGTTTGTAAAAATCATTCATTTGTTTTATAGATAACATTTTGTCCGTCGATCAACCTCGTAATAACTGCATCAGTAGCACGCAAATATCTTTTCAAAGTTTTTGAACAGAGAAGATAATTTATACCGTTATACCGCATTGGTAATACGCTATACAATTACAGAGAGCGATTGTATCAATCGTTATGATTCTGGCAATATACAGAATATCTGTTGATGGTTTAGAAAAGTATACCACAGATATGTTGTGGAATCACATATGTAAATGCACATGTGTAGTGTGTCAAGGGGGGTGGTTACTGATCTTTTCTATTGTCATAGAGGCTATACATTGTAATAAACCAGTTGATGAATATACATAAATTGGTTCGATAAGTTTTGTGATTAAAATACATTGATAGAATTTTGCAAATTCTGACACGTAGATTAATGCATTACAGTCTTCAAGTGTATACTGATAAACATCATATATATTTCAGATTTCTAATCTTGTGTCTCTTTTTGTCTTTCCCTATTAAATGATAGTTTGAATATGAGTAATTATAATTAAAATAGTTAATTGATTTTATAAATATTATATAAAAATATTCGCGCACATTTAAACGTTAAATGAAATCATTAAGAAATAATATTTTTGCATTTGCATTTAAAAATTGTAAGTCTATTACTGAAAGTACCTGATTCGAACAATATGAGATAAATGATACATATACTTAGTTAACACATTATGGTACGTTTATCAAGTTGAAAATTATAATAATTATATTAAAAGTCGAGATAATTAAATTAATTTTAAATGCATGAGTAGAAATTAAACTTTTACATTTATTTTATTAGTAAATTAGTAAAATAATAATTAAATTGTAAAAATGCTTTCTTAATTCTTTGAACTATTTTATATATCGTGTCTAAATTTACTTGAATTATTTATTGATATTACTTTGAAAGATATAATTATCAGGTAAGCAATCTCTAAATAATGTTTTAAATTATAATTAATTTATTTAATTTGTAAGAAGGAATGGAATGTACATTTCTAGTGCCTCGTGTTTGTGAATAATATCTTAATTATATAAATGTAAAAGAACTATGAATATTAATAATACGACCATAATGTGATAACATCGATGTTAACTTTTAAATTAGAAACTACTCTTACGATATACATTATTTAAATGTAAATGCAATTACAATGTAACAATATTTATTTATTTTCAGAATAAAATTTAAAAGAACAAATTGAGTATTTATAATAAGTTGTGCATGAGGAGCATTAATTTTCGAAGATGAAAGTTTATAATTAAATCTTTAATTTTTTACCACATAAACCCTACAAAAAAATCCTTTTTCCTTTTATCCTCATACCTATCTAAAGATTTGTTAAATTTTATGAGAATTATGCATGAAATTATAAAAAATCAATAACGTCATCGTGTGCGCATATATATGTAAATGTATATACATATATATGAATATTGTTTTTCTTATTCTTTTATGATATCTTCTAACATAATTCGATTTTTTCTTTCGTAGCAAAAAAAGAAAAAAAATGATAACTTTAGATTAATTATTAAACAGACCGTTAAATATTAAGAAGAGAATTAAGAGAATTAATGAAAATAATTCGCTTGCGCATTTTATTTCAAATCTTGTTTATTAACCTTTCAATGTCATATTTACCGGAAAAGTACCACGTATGTATTTTTCAATGTAATTAAATATTCAGCAAGGAAAACTTCCATTCCCACATTACGTCGTAAGGAATAGACGTGTGGAGGTTCCACGAAAAATGATTTAATTTTATTTGAAAAAAGAAAAATATATGTTTTTATATACGTATAAGTGACTCGATCGACGTCACGTAGGTATAAATTGAACCTGATGATGAAAAGCAATTTTATATGGCGTTTTTTCAATCGAAGTGTCCCTGAAAACTTTCGAATGTTAAGACTGCGTTCGAAACGAGAGGAATTAATGGCGGTTGAAGAGCCCCCACCCTGACGTATGCAGAAACAGTCAAGGTGTCAACAGGCGAGGCTGAACGAAAGTTTACGCGATAATTCTCGTCTGTTCGTATTCGCCCATTTACCTTACCGCTTATCGTTTTGTCTTAGCAACGTTCGAGCCGCGATAATCGAAATACATGTGTTTGAAATAACTGGCGTTCAGAGAATGCAACTACTCAAAGTATAGCACGGTGCAGATTTTTCTGACATGTATGTGTGTATACGTACATAATGTTTTGATTCAATCGCAGCTGAAGTTCGGTCGTATCTATTTCATTGAAGATATGCTCGATTGTGTCTTCACTGACAAAAATTATAGTATTTCATCACCTTGTTGCTGATTATTGAATTTCACAGTAGGATGTGTACGAATTAATATCTATTTTTTATTTAACAAGTGTTATAAAGTTCTAGTCACGGTATGCTTGACGTTTGTGTGATTCTTGCACAACGTGATTATGATACAGTATACTAAACCTTGTTTCTGTAATTTAATATTGTTTTTATAATGCAAAGCTAATAACACTGATTAATAAACTTTTTTATGAACAACTATGATGAAAAAGTTTTTACTGCACGCCATTGATAATTTGATTTTTCTTTTTTTGCATTAAACTCTCAATTTCATGTTTAATTTACTAGTAAAGTAAAATATATTTTGTTTTTTTTTTTCTATGTTTACATATGATACAGTGATGAAAGCTTATAGCGAAAGTTTATGGTATAGAAAAAAAAAATACACACTGAACTGTTTCTTTTCAATGATTTTCCTATTTTATAGAATAAAGACATTACATCTAATAAAAAATAAACTTTGTTATATGCTATTAATTGAAATAACGAAAGGTCTGTTCTTTTTCTTTTTAGATATGATCCTTTATATGAATTTTGTACAACATATATAATTGCTCAAAAAACAGTCCAATGAATGTGGATGATGAGTTTTACTTTATCAAGCAGTAGTGTGGCGAATATACTGTAATGGGGTGGGTCTTGTCCACCACAGTATGGATTACAATATGGAGTTGCCTGTTACGGGGCTTAGAATTAGCTCCACAGACATCTCCAAAACAAATTCCATGTGATAAAACTAGGAAAGTTTTTACTGATTCTTGGGGGATTATTAGTGATGGACCTTTGGGTTCGAATTATACACAAGATTCTCATTGTGAATGGCTTATAAAAGGTATGAAAGTTTGACAACAATGTTTGGACCAATTTCTTTTATTGTTCATTCATAATTTAATGTATGTATTTCACAGCAAATAATAGCCGTCAGTTTATTACTTTGAGTTTCCGTACCATGGGAACAGAATGTAGCTATGATTATGTTTTTGTTTATGATGGAGATTCTTTTCGATCTCCACTTTTAGGTAGTTTCAGTGGAAAAACAGAACCTCAACAAGTGACATCATCATCTGGTTATGTATGTCTTTCAATAATAAATTATAGATAAATAAATAATTTATATCTTATGATCATTTGAAAATATTGTTATAACTTTACTTTGTCTTCTACAGATGTTAATACTCTTGTACAGTGATACAAACTATGTTTTGGATGGTTTTCATGCAGAATTTTCAGTTACGAATTGTTCAAATAATTGTACAAATCATGGAAAATGCATTGATAATACTTGCTTTTGCGAAAATGACTGGGGTGGTCGAGATTGCTCCAAAGCTCTTTGTCCAAATAATTGTAGTTATAATGGAGAGTGTGGTTTAAAACGATGTGATTGTAAAAATGGATACTCAGGACAGTCTTGTTCATTACACAAAACATATCCTGAAGGCAACAAGTATGTTATTTAATATATATTGCATTAAATATAGTACATTTATTATTTACAATTATTATTTACTGATCACTAAATACGATAAATAGATGGCACTGGCTTTCTCATTCAGAAGGTGGATTAAGGCCAAGGGCAGCACATACTGCAGTTTATATAAAAGAAACTGATTCTCTTTATGTTTTTGGTGGTTATGATCTTAATTATATACTCAGTAATTTGGAAGTATATCGATTTAGCACAAGTCAATGGGAAGATGAATATGGTAATGAACTAGGTGAGCAGGAAACTCTTCAATGTATTCATTACAAATGTATTATGATGTCTATTGTACTAGAAAATTTACTATGTGTGTCTAAAACAGAAGGCGTCTCATCTGCAGAATATTTGGATCCTATGTTACTTGCTACTGAATTAAAACGGACAGATGCAGATGAAAAAGAATTATATGGTCTTCGTACCTCATCTCTTATGTGGAAAGTACTTTCTAGTATTAAAGACAATAATACTTTTAGCACACGTAATTTTGGAAATACAGAAAATGGACATGGCTGGTCAAAATTTAGAAATGGAGACCATAAGGATCGCGAGGAAAAATTTCACGAAAGCAGAGATGGTGAAAAAAGCAAAAGCACAGTTAGAATAGAAAGAAATGATGATTTTAGGAGAAAACATTTTAGACGTCCTAAGCCTCGATATGCGCAAATTACAAGGTAAAAATAAATTACAGAATGTAATTGCTGAATATTAACTCGCAGTTATTGACTCGCAGTTAATGCTATTTTTTATTTACTTGCTGTTAGACATCGTAGAAATCTTGAAAATCTAGATCCTTATCAAGAATTTCATATAAAAAGTGATATACTAAATTGGGAAGAACAAAATACAGAAGATTTTGTTAGAGACAACATTTACATTCAAGAACCTAAAGTAAAAGATGAATCATTAAAAGATGAGTCAACTAAGTCACCAATTGATAAATTACCTAAACCAAGTCCGCGATATGGTCACGCAGCTTGTAGATATGACGGTCAGTCGTATATCCATTCAAAATATAAAAAAAAAAATGTAATACCATTATAATATAATTTATAAATTATACAATTAATAGGTGGTTTTGTTATATACGGTGGGAAAGTACAAGACGGATCTTTATCTAATGAACTGTGGCATTACGATGTTAACACACGTTCTTGGACATTACGAGCGAAAAATTCTCCATTTTATCCACCGCAATTGACAAGACATTCTCTTACTTTAGCAAATGATTATATTTATCTTTTTGGTGGTAGTACAGTTGATGGTGAATTTTCGTCGAGTTTATATAAGATTAAACTGAATTTATGTAAGTTTATTGAACAATGCAGATTTACTGTATAAGCTTCATATTATACACAAAAAAATTGTTGTATTAAATTTGTTTTAATTCTAGCTGATCCTACAGCAACCACAGAAAGATGGAAAGAAGTATACCCGCGAGGTGGTAAAGAATTAGATGTACGTGTAGTTGCACATTCAACTGTGTACCATCATGCTACTAATTCTTTATTAGTTTATGGGGGAGTAGTAGCCAGTGTAGCACGATTTAGTAAATTATCCGATAGAATGTTTGTGTTTCAACTTGACAGGAAGGTTTGGTCTGAAATTCATTATCCGAGAGCACATTTGAGAGACACTTATGTTCCAAGAGAACGAGCATTTCATACTTGTAACATTATAGGTAGTTGTCTTTATTGTAATTGTCATTAAATAGATCATTTATTATTACATTATTATTAAATTAAAGTTTTAATAAACTACATTAAAAAAATTTTCAGGAAATTATTTAGTTGTATTTGGCGGCTATTCTCATAGACATAATAAAGAAGAAATTTGTTATGATAATCAAATGTATCTTTATCATCTAGGCTGCCATGCTTGGGTAAGCCATGATGTACTAGGTTTAAATGATAAAGGTAAATTGAAACTTCTACAGTTAAAATAAAAATTGTTTGAAATCTTAATTTTTTTCACGTTAAAACATTTATTTTAATACTCTAGATTCTCGTTACCCAAAGCAACAAGGAGTATTCGCACACGCAGCAGATGTACGAAATGGAAATACATTGTTATTGGTTGGTGGTTATCATGGGAACGTAAATGCGGATTTGCTTGCATATACATTACCACCGATGCTTGCACCAGGAGATGAAGATAATATAGAACCTGAACAAATTTGTTCAAGACATAAAAGTTTAATGGAATGCACAGCTAATCCAGAATGTGGTTGGTGTTCGGCAGATGAGGTATGTACCTAATATACAAAATATTGCTATTATTTTTTAAGTAATAAATATTTAACTTATTTTAGATATGTTATGGTAGAACTATCGGTAGTAATTGTACAACAAATCTTCAAACGACACGTTGTCTAGGTGTTTGTCCTGCACTTGGAGATTGTCATTCTTGTTTAATACATGGCCAACCTGGTGGAGGTTGGGGTACAACTGCACGTGGAAAAAAATCTGTGTCAAATAAGTTAAATCGCGGAACTTGTACATGGTGTGTTCAGAACGCGCGTTGTCATCACAAAGATGATAATTATGGTGTTTGTGGACTTCGAGACGATACACCATCGCAAATACCTGGATGGTGGGGCCCGAAAGGCACAGAAATTATAAAAGTCGAAGAATGCCGAGAAATGGATAAAAGGCCAGGATTAACATTTTTAAAATATAAACCTCCAGTGAATTTTAGTCAACCCGACTCGGTAACGATAGTCAATGCCACTACCGTAGATTTTAATGTTCCGTCTATGCAAGGAGCGAAAACAGAATCAGCGCTTGGAGGAGAAATGATTGCTAGATTGATCGGTTTCCTCAGACCACCTCAATCTTTTTGGGATAGCACAGTGGAGCATTTGAAAATTTGTGTTAGTTATAATAGCGCAACTTTACATGTATCAAGGAGTGATGACCCTCAGGAATTGGTAAATTCTTTCATTAAAGTACTCATAAGAAATAATAAAAAAACAAATTTTATTTCTGTTCTATTTGATATTTTTCAATTTAATTTTTTAGGAATTAGTTGCAAATTTAACTGCTGAAACATCACAATGCATTCCAACAAAATGGCCAGATGGACATCAAATGATGTTGCTACCAGGACGATATTTATTAGACTTCGAATCGAAAAGGATGGTTACTACAAGTTATGCGTATGCCAGTAAGATGGAAATTACTCACAACAAGAAAACGGAAAATCCAAAAGTATTTACATTTGAATACCTTGAACCATTTCAAAACGGTTCTTGCCATCAGTATAAAAATTGCCTTCACTGCTTAACCGATTCTTCGTGCGGTTGGTGTGATATCATTAATAAATGTCTTTCACGCTCAATTAATGAAACGGAAAGTTGTGTAGCTGATGTAGAATGGGATGAAGATGGGAATCCTACTCGTGAATGGCATTATCTAACTATCACTCCATCAGCTTGTGCTAATTGTTCCAATTATATCTCATGTGAATCCTGCGTTGGTAGTAATTTGTGCGAATGGTGGACAGAGGAAGCTCGTTGTGCAAGAATTGGTAGACTACCTAATGCAGTTGTTAGCCTTGATCAATGTCCAATTCCATGTAGACAACGTTCAAATTGCACGCAATGTTTAGATGAGCGTGGAAGATGCGTGTGGTGTGAAGCCACGCAAGAGTGTTTTTCTTTTTCAGTATATACATCTGAGTATCAATTTGGTTTGTGTCGAGAATGGATGGATCAAGCTGGCTTAATGGGAGTAACCTCAAGGTCTGGATCGTCTCTGACAGGCAATGATCAATGCAAAAGTTGTAGCCGGCATACAAATTGTTCTAGCTGCTTGCACTCGTTAAGTTGTGGATGGTGTTACAGTCTAGAAAATCCTATCATAGGAGCATGCGTACAAGGAGATTTCAATCAGCCGCACATCAATTGTAGTTTTGTTATCAATGAATATCAAAATACCACATTAGAAATAGATGAATCGGGTTGGGCATACGCTCAGTGTCCAGATGTCGACGAATGTGATTTGGGCTTACATGATTGTCATCCCAATGCGGTATGCACAAATACACATGGAAGTTTTAGCTGTCAATGTAAAAGAGGTTTTAATGGAGATGGCAAAGAGAACTGTACTAAAACTTGTTATGAGAAATGTGTTAATGGTTATTGTAGCGAAGCACCTGATTATAAATGTGAATGTAACCTTGGATGGACAGGTCCAGATTGTAGAACAAATTGTGGTTGTTACAATCATTCTACTTGCACACAAGGACCAGGCATTTGTGATAAGTGTCAGGACTGGACTACTGGAAGATATTGTGAGGAATGTAAAGCAGGCAGTTATGGTAATGCCACAACACCTCTTGGATGCAGAAAATGCAATTGCAATGAACATGGAGACAAAAACTTAGGCATTTGTGATCGACAAACTGGCGTATGCTTTTGTCGTGATAATACACAAGGAGATATGTGTCAGCGTTGTAAGAAAGGCTATTACGGCGATCCAAGAGATGGCGGAATGTGTTATTATGGTTGTATGTCTCGAGGTATGCTTGGGGGAGAAGGAAATGGCAAACAAGGTCTTGGCAGCAGACACTCGCAGTTATCATTATGGGAAAGTCATCTTGGAGATTCTCCAACAAGAGAGTGTCTGTGGATAGTAAGTCCAAAAACTGATCTTTCATCAGATAACATGCTCTCAGGAACTCAAAGTGTCATACAATTTACTATACATGATGATATTAATGTTAGTTGCCAAGAAAATAGTGTTTATGTATACGATGGACTTCCTGAATTTGTTTCATCATCAACTAGTCATCAGAGTCAACTCCTAGGTGTTTATTGTACAGAAAGTACAGATTATCCTGTTACTGTAGAAGCTAAGTCTGGATTTCTTACTGTTCATTATAAACAACTGGATGAAGTAGAAGGTTTCAATGCAAGCTACTTGATAATGACATGCAATAATTGTCCAGGAAATCGGGAATGTCGAAATGGTAACTGTTTATGTAAAGCTGGTTTTGTAGGAATCAACTGTGATATCGAAATATGCCCTAATAATTGCACTTCATCTAAGAAGCAAGGAATTTGCGATAAGGGTTACGGGCGTTGCGTTTGCGCATCCGGCTATGGTGGACATGATTGCTCAATTAAGATTAAAGAACATCAGTTAATTTTTACGGAACTATTTAACTCTGAATATCTAGCCGATCATTTGGACCACCTAAGAAAAACTTTACCGAGATTTGGTCACACGTTGGTTGCTGACAGAAGGGGTAGCTTGTGGATGTTTGGGGGATACTCTCTTAGTCACGGTCCTCTAAATGATATTAGACTTTTTGATACTAAAAATAACACATGGATGCCCATTACTGTAGAATCTACTACAGAGGCTTCGATGCCTCAAGGTAGATACTTCCATGCAACTGAAATAGTTCATAGTAGGCAACAAATATATGTTTATGGCGGTTTATCAATGAAACAAGAGGACATTCAAGGAATATCAAATAACACATTAAGCGACTTCTGGAAATTTAGTCTGCAGAATCAGAGATGGATGCAAATTATACAAGAGGAGTTTAAAAAAGAACCGCCACTTTTAGCTGGACATACCTTGACTTTACGTAGAAATGGAGAATCAGAAAGTCTAATATTAATTGGAGGATTCAGTCCTAAATATGGCTACCTTGACACAGTATGGGAATTCAATTTAGAAACAGAAACTTGGGATACAATAGATACAATTGGAAATGGACCATTAGGGGTATATGGTCATTCAACTGTATATCATAGCAAGTCAGATAGCTTTTACATTTTCGGTGGATACACTTACGCAATAAATCGAACATTTATTTCTAATAAATTATATGCACTAAATTACAAAACTCGCACGTGGTCTGTACTTCCACCATTTGATGATGATCTCACTGATGGAAGTAGTTTGGTGAGTAAACATTTCATTATTTAATTTTTCTTTTTTAATAAATCAGGATCGGTCATAAATTTAATTCATATTTTATTATAGCCACAAGCTAGATTTCTTCATTCTGCTGTTACCACTGATGAATACATGGTAATATTTGGTGGTCGTCAAAATCCACATAATACTTCTGATTCATTAATTGCTTATAAATATTCATGTAATTTATGGATTCGTTTAATAACGAAAGACATGGAAGTTATTGGAAGTCCACCACCACCAGCATATGCTCATGCAATGACTCATGCTGATCCAGAATCTAATGCTGTATATGTAGTTGGTGGTTTTGATGGTGGAATCAAAAGTCATGTCACTCTTATAAGCATACCAGAAGATTTATGTAATCTTTGGACAGACAAAATCACTTGCAGGAAATACTTTGGATGTTCCTTTTGTTCTGTTGTCACAATTAGTGGAAAAAATGCTTCATTTTGTTTCTCTAATGAAGTATCAATCAACAAAGATGACAGGTAAATTTTATTTTTATTTCAATAAACATATTCATAAATACTTTTAAATATGTGACAGAAATAATCGTTTCAGATGTGATATTAACGTAACACAAGCTCAACGATCAAATGGAATTTTTTGTAATTCAGAGTGGATGATCAGTAGAAAATGTCAAAATTTTAAAACTTGCACAGAATGCTTAGCAGAATGGCCGTATTACAAAAATGAGGAACCAGTATGCAAATGGTGTACGCACTGTCCAAACGGAAAGTGCATACCATCCGAGAAAGATTGCGACGAATTAAACAAATGCAGTATTAGACAAATATCGGTAACAGATGTAAATAAATGTGGAGAACGACAATGTCCGGCAAGTGATTGTGAGAAGTGTAATAGTCTTGAAGGTTGCGTATGGACAAGGCAGGTCTTAAAAACATGTGAGTTTTAAGAGAATTATTATAAAAATAGTACTTGGTAATTTTTAAACAATTTGTAATAATTTTTCAAAATATTTGTAGCTGAACTAGGACTTGCAGTAACGGGAGAACCTGTATACGATTGGAATTGTGTACCAGATGACATTTTTGAACGATCAAGTATTAAAATGGGAAGTACGCAATGTGAAAAACGATGCGCAGATCATAAAGACTGTAGAAGTTGTCTTAAAGGTACCGGAGCCGAAGGTGGTTGGCGGGAATGTAGATGGTCGACACAACTCAATGAAGTAAATATTTTTTTTTTTTTTTTTTTTTATAAAATTGAAATTAAATCTATTGATAAATATTGCAGTGTATTTCTCCATCATATCAACCTCTATACTGTGCCGGTGGTGTATGTGGTTTAGTATTACGTAGTTCTGATATGGATCATTGTCCGGAACCATGTTCAGTTTTTAAACAATGTAGTACATGTTTGAAACACTCACATTGCGGATGGTGTTCTCTCGATTCAGCTAACATAACTGGGCAAGGAATATGTACCGAAGGCTCTCTTGAAGCACCAGCAGATCATCCAGCTGGTGGAACATGCGAAATGTTATACTATCAACAATTCCCTCAAACTGAACCACGTAAGCAAATATAACGTAATAAAAATTATTTGAATATCTTTTTACATTCTACTCGTAAATTCTTAATAGAACTTGATTTCTATTGATGAAAGTTACTTCCAAAAGTAGCCGGTTTTTCTAGTGTTAATTCTATATTCACGAATTTTTAATTAAATATTTTAATCTTCACGAATGTTCATTTGAAAAATTGCAGCAATCATAATTATATTATTCCTATATTATTTAGAATCTTTGGAAACCCTAGATAATGTTACAATGTTAATCCCAAATGTAATATCGAAACCAGAATTTTCTTGGCACTATGTAAGATGTCCACCGGAAAATGAATGTACGAATGGACATCATACGTGTTCTCCGAAAAGTGAAAAATGTTTTGATTTAGAAGAAGGATTCGAATGCATGTGTGGAGATGGATATAAAACTGAAACGTAACTTTTATTTTTTTTTCTGGTCACTCTTATTAAATAGACAATTTATTAATTATTTTATATTTATTTCAGTCCATCATCATTTAATGAGTTCGGCAGGTAAGGATTAACTAAATTGAGTTATTTATTTGTTTTTATGTTGTTTATAACATTTTTGTTATTTATATATAATTTATTTTATTTTTAGAAAAATTTGTGTTCCGATGTGTACGCAAGGTTGCGTTAGAGGAACGTGCGTAGAACCAAATGTTTGCCGTTGTGACTTCGGTTACGTAGGTGCCAATTGTTCAATTCAGTGCCAGTGTAATGGTCACAGCAATTGTGCTGGCCCAGATAAATTAGACGTTTGCTTAGAGTGCCATAATAACACAATGGGACCACAGTGTGATAAATGTTTACCTTTATTTGTCGGAAATCCAGCAGACAATGGACAATGTGTTCCATGCCTTGAGTATTGCAATGGACATACTCGAATATGTATTAATGAAAGCATGACTGTGCCGGTAATTTATTTTTCACATTGAAAATGCAATTGGAAATAAAAATTAATATCTACATTTTTAGAAACGAATATTACTCTTTTACAGGATCCGTATTCAATTGATAAGATGTCTATAGAATTATTGAAAAAACAACTAGTTGAAGGTCCTGTAGCAAAAGCAAAATGCGTAAATTGTGGAAATAATACAAAAGGTGATAAATGTGGCGAATGTATGACTGGTTATTTTAGAGGAACGGAAGATCTTCGTGACGTATGTCGACCGTTAGTATTATCATTTAAATTCTGTTTCCTATTTTCTAATATATTATAAATAATATTCGTATATTACTTATTTATTTATTTTTCTAGTTGTGAATGCCATGGGCACGGATTTACTTGCGATCCTGTAACAGGAGATAAATGTAACTGTGGTAATAATACAGAAAGTGATCCAACATGTACCAGTGGTCCTATGAAAGGTACAAACACTGGTGGAACACCATGCTGGATGGTACAATGCAGTAAATGTAAAGAAAATTATGCTGGTACACCAACTAATGGTCATCAATGTTATAAAACTGTAACAGTTGACAATAAGATGTGTTTTGACTCTAAATTAATAGGTAAGTTATTTAACAATTTTATACAATAATTTTATTATCGTATTATTTTATTATTATTTTATTCAAATATGTTCTAATATAAAAGTCCTATTTTTTTAAATTCTGCTACGGAATTTCTTATATTGTTATGTTAGGTATTTTAATTAAATATTGTTTTTCTTAAATTGCAACATTTTGTTATATCAGGAGGATCTTATGGTTCGTACTCCTCCATTGACAAATTGTATATATATTTTTTTTTTATTTATTAATTTTCGCGTGTTTGAATATAAAAATTAATTATTTTCACCAATTACAGATGAGTGTAAAATGAAACCGAAACCATTGAATCCTGGTCAAACAGTGTTTTATATGGTACAACCTCGTTTTATGAATGTTGATATTAGAGTTATGGTGGATGTAACTCAAGGGGCTTTAGATCTATTTCTTAGCCCTCGGGAGGATTCTTTCGTTGTTATACTAAATTCAACAACTGGATATCAAGATGTATGGATTTAAAATATTTCTTTCTATTCCTTTCTTAAAATATATTTCTATCTATAAGGCATAAAATATTAAACATTTTCTAACTAGAAATTGCATATATACAGGTCGAATTGGATAGCAGATTTATGTGGCGTAAGGATCCACATAACATGTGGCTAGACGAACAAACACGCAGTCGAATGAGAATTGTTGAATTCCATTCCCACAATTCGTTCTTGTTCACTATGAACGGCACTACTACCGAACCCACTTGGAATACCGGTCCTCAGTATATTGTGATGGAACGCTACGCAGAAGGTTTGGCTACGTTCCTAACAATTGAGAACAGGAACACGTTCTTGGTTATTAGGAATCTCACGAATCGGTTAGTGTTAACATTGCCGCAGGACAAACATGAGCTTCATGAAACGAAATTTCACATCGCATTAAGGGCAATTGATGCCATTCATCCAGAGATTAGCGGCCGAGCTGCTTATGGAATGATCTTCTTTCGACAGGATCAATTGCACATTGATTTATTCGTTTTTTTTTCTGTGTTTTTCTCGTGTTTCTTCTTATTCTTGGCCGGCTGCGTAGTCGCATGGAAAACGAAACAGGCGGCGGATGTTCGAAGAGCACGGAGAAGGCACGTTGTTGAGATGTTGCACATGGCTAAAAGACCATTCGCGTCAGCTACCATCATTTATGATCGAGATGGTAACGATTGTAATCCAAATTCACCCCAACGAAAAAGCAGACGTAACAAATTAGTTAGCTTTCACAGCGACGTTAGACCAGTGGCAGTCGAGCCTACTGATGACGGGGTAGCTGCTGTAGCTACCGTTTTCATTAGATTACCTGGTGGTCAACAAGCCCCTGTAAAATTGGCTCTTGGTAGCTCGTTAATACTGTTAACTAGAGTTTATCCAGTTAACAGTAGGGTGTTCCTAAGACGTAGAAACAGTCACGCGTTGAACTGAGCTTCTTTCTGTAGACATCTGTTTTCACATCACATAAATTTTTAAGTTTGCTTACGCTCTCAAAATTTATGGCAAACAAAATAGCGATCATGTTTATTCTTTATTTTATCGATCGTTTTTCGTTGATCTCATCCTTTTAATCATTAATCTATTTTTGGTATTTGATACGCGGTCATTATACAAATTGAAGCAGTTTTTTACGAATAGCATTTATATTTCTCTCGAACTTGTCCAAATTGAATTTCAATTGTTGAATTTTAACAATACCATTCATTCTTCGTCATTGACGAATGTTGACATTGTTCAATGTCCGCCAGTAATATGAAATTTTAGTCTAATGGTTGTATTATAGGTATAAAGAAACATTATAAGGGTATTTAAACTAAGTGATAATACACACACACACACAGACACACACATATATATTATCATACCATTCCATGACGAGACTGTATGTTTGTATATAAAGATCTGTAATTATGTATTAATTCGTAATTTATACGATTTTGTAGGAGCATTTTATGTAACAAGACATGATTTTGTGTCTTGAAACATTCGTAGCTACCTTTTGAGGAAAGTGGATGATTTTATTAGTGTTGTATGAAAATGTATGAAATGTTGCATAACCATCTATTGAAATATACATGGAAAGGAAAAATATACAGGCAGCTACAAGTATTATTCTACTTATTAAAATCTTGTTTGTATTCTAACTATTTCAAATGACATTGCAAAAATTTTTAACAAATGTGAGATTTCCAATTATAACGTGTGAATTTAAATGAATAATTATAAAACAGCTGATATTATTATTATGAATGAATCATTAAAACATTAGCTATAAAACAGATATAGCTATCAAAGCTTGAAGTGATATAATATTTCAATGCAAACGTCTTTGCGATTACATACAGTGTAACAAAAAAGCGATATGTCGACTGGCACTGCTATTTTCTAACAGGGTGATTTTCAAATACGACACGTGTTTTGATGAAAGAGATATAGTAGAATAATAAATTAAGATGTCAAGTAAGCATATTGATTGATACCATATAACTTAATTCGAAGTTCATATATTGGTTCGTATATTGATATTTAAAACTTCTGCTCATAAACGTCCAATAAAATTATATTACGTAAAAAGTTAAAATTTCTGTAAAATCAATAAAGTAATTTTGGTGAATTTTATATGATCACGCTATATCTTTTCCACCAAGATTACACATATACAGACGTGTCTGTATGCTACGTTAAAAAAGTATTGTTAGGCCTGCGACTGAAAACGAATTGTATCCGCATAATTAAAAAAACGATCAGTATTAGAAGTTGATTAGAAAGAAGCTCGATAATGCGTGCGTCGGAATGCCAAAAAAAAAAAAAAATTAATGAGGAATAATATGAGTGTCATAACATAATGATGTATTACCTATAACAAGAAATGATAGACGTGTAAAAGATTTTAATTAGGGAATGTTGTAAATACGAGGAGTGCACATTGCAAATGTTAATTATGGACACCGTCGTATAATATCAATTGTAAAATATTAATAGTACGATATCGTCAATAACAATTTAAATTCGGTGAAAATTGAAAGGAAGATATGTCCTTTATCAAAGATGATGAGCCAAGGTTACGTATTAATCAAAATATAAAAGTAAAAATACAAGGTGTTGACGTAATGATATTAATAACACATACTCTTAAGATAATTTGTAATAAGCAAAGTAATTGAGAAAGTGAGCGACGTAGTGACATAAGTAGGTGTAAATATCACGAGGCGTTTTTTTTTTGCTAACTAAGCTGTTATGCGATATCGAACAAGTTTAATATATTCTGTACAGATTGTTTCTCAGGATAGTTGTTACACGGTTTGAACATTTCTTACTGTATTTGTAGAAAAGTTTTTCAGAACTAACGGATTTACATATATATTATTGTTCAACTCGATTTTTTTAATGCAACTTATTTTTTATTAACAATATTGTAATTAATATATATATATAATAACATTTGAGTAAAGCTGTAACATATTTATTTTTGATAAATGATAATGATAGGATTAGCAATATTTTCTAAAAGTACAGTGCGAAATTTTCAAATTATTTTTTGGAAGCATTCGAATTATGTCATCGATATGTTGTAAGAATGCACGGTTGTTCCTTGACTGTAGGAACGATGATACACTGAACAATTATTAAGTGTGCATATGACAATGCAACACGTCCTGTCTATTGAATTTCTGAATTTATTTTTATTTTTTTATTTTTGTTTTTATTTTTCATAGGTCTCGTCATTACGTATCTCGTCAGTTGATACTTTTGTTACTCTTTTTTGCTATATTTGTTCTCTCTCTCTCTCTCTCTCTCTTTCTCTTTTCTCTATCATTTTACTAGCATATCTTTATCTCGTTTCATTTTCATCGATTTTATTTACCTTTGCGCGACCAACTATCCTAACTATTCATAGCGAGATAGTTTATAAGCATACGTATAAGGAATAATGCAAACTAACATGTACATGTACATTTATATAGATCTACGTGAATAGAGATATATATTATATACATATACATACTATATATACACAGTAAATGTATAATTTCTCGGTTGTACAGATCTGAGCGTTATCTCCAAAATGTTCTATTTTATATATAATTATTACATTGCATTCAATGTAAGCGATATCTTCCAATGCCGGCATTGCATCATCGCGTTAAGAAAAAAAAGAAGAAGAGAAAAAAAAAGATGTTTGTAAGAATATGGGGACACCATCGTTTATAAAAGCGAAAATGAAAAAAGGTTGTGAGGTCCGGGTGTCGGCATCCCCACAAGGATTCGCCACAAGCTTCGTGAATTTATTTGTACCGTGAGGAAGAACATGAGGTTGTGCTAATGAAGATTAATGAATTGTATTGAGAAAGCTTTAATAAACGTATGTAAAATTGGGTTTAACCCCGATGAGTATTTCATTCTGTGTTGAAAGTTGACAGTTGATTTCGCCTAATTTCGATTTTGTTAATTAAACACTCGATGGACGATAAAAATTATTTTAGGTACATTCACCAGTTACTATGGTAACTATGATGTCAACAAATCGCTGAACCTCAAGGCCCGGCTAAGCAGGCGATCGAACGTGTATATAGAATGTTTACGCTGCTCAATGTTAAGTGCATGGTAATTTTACATGAAGCTACGAACGTTTCTGAACAGTTATGTAGGCACGAGTCAAGGTGACAGACAGGTGTAAAAAATGAGATTTAAAATATCTGCGCAAAGTCGTAATGGTCACAAGCGTTTGGTAACTTGTGTAGCATGGAGCTCGACAGAGGAGATTTATTCATGCGGGTAAGATTTCCGTATTTATGAGAAAAAGTACAAACAATTCAAACGATTATCTTTTCAGGGAGGATCATTTATTAATATCGTGGCATTTGGAAGGTGGAATCGCGCATTCCAGTATTGTTACAGAATTTCCAGATGACTTTTATCCGACAGATATGCAATGGCACCCTCGGCCGAATTATGCCACGCTAATTACGAAAAAACAATCATTGGATGTTCTGTTAATTACTACAGCCGATGGTTGGATTCGCTTTTATAAATCTGTAATATCATTTCGGATTGTAATTTCACTTATCGATACGTTTTTGCTTTGACATCTTTGTTATAGGAAAATATCATTTAGTTAATAAAAATGGACGTATAGAAAAGAGCATAGATGCTCATAAAGGAGCAACAACAGTAGGCAGATGGAGTAGCGACGGCTCTGCGCTTTTGACTGGTAATTAAAACATTTTAGAGCTAATTAGTTTTAATTAATCATTGTTCGATTAATTTTTAATTTGTCACCAATTCTAGCTGGTGAGGATGGCTTGATAAAAGTATGGTCACGTAGCGGTATGCTTCGTTCTGTTGTTGTTAAAGGCATGTTCCCCATATTGTCTGCTGCCTGGAGTTCAGATTGCACAACAGTGTTATATTCCCAGGGAGCTCACTTAATTTTCCAGTCACTTAATTCAAACTCCAAACCTCGAAAGGTTAAACGATATTTAACAGATTTACATGGTATTTAGACAGTTAAAGAAAAAGACATTGTCTGAACAAATATTTTGCTTCAGTTGTTGGCCCATGATGGCCTGATTTTGGTTTTATGTTGGAGTCACACTCATGGACTGATCATTTCTGGCGGTGAAGATTGCAGATACAAGGTAAAATGTGTGAAAAGTTTGAGAAGAAAATTTGTATGAAAGAATCAGTGAAGAAATTCAATTTTCATTTAAGGTATGGGATCCTAATGGCACGCAGCTATTTTCTAGCAGTGTTGAAGATCATCCTATTACAGCAGTGAACTGGAGTTTCTCTGGCGACTGCTTTGCTGTTGGATCATTCAACACAGTTAAACTTTGTGACAAAACAGGAGTTAGTTCATATTACATATTTATTCGGTATTTATTCATGTTTTTTATTGGCATGCATATACTTTTAGTGGTCTCATTCGTTGGAAAAAATAAATTCTGGAAGCATATACAGCATTGCCTGGTCAAGTGATAGCACTCAAGTAGCTATGGCTTGTAGTAATGGAACTGTGTTAACAGGGCATATAATAGACAGGTATAAAAAAACATAGAAGTAACATATTACGTGATATGTAAGTACATGTTACACACATGCATATTTAATATAAATAGGAGATTGGAATGGAATAATTACGAAGTCACGTTGGTCAAAAGAAAAGTGATCGAAGTCAGAGACGTTGGCAATGAGATACGAGAGACGCTAGATATATCGGATCGCGTGGTTCAGCTGGAATTTGCTTTTGACTATTTAGTCGTAATTACACCGGCGCAGTGTCACGTTTACTCAGTAGTAAATTGGAATACTCCGGCTATATTCGATTTAAAAAACACTAGTGTATCGGCGGTGCTTCTCGCAGAAAAGTATATATATATTAATTATTCGACACAATAACAAAATATCAAAAAAAAAGAAACGAAATATTTATGAAAGCATTTATGTTGCAGACACTTTTTGTTAGTTGAATGGAATAGCGTATCGTTGTACAGTTACCAAGGCCGTTTATTAGGAACTCCAAAATGGAAAGGAATGACGCAGGAACGACTTTATCCTCCTTGCGTGTCGCTCTGTTCCGATACTTTAGTTATACGATCGCAAAGTAACGAGAAACGTACGATAAAGGTTTTTCAATCAAAGAAAAGAAAAACGATTACAAATATGTAAAGAATATTACAAAAGTTATTTTTTTAGTTCTTCACGTGTTGGAAGTGGCTTACAATAAACCTATAGTTGAAAGCCAAAGTTACACGCATCTTCAAGGTATTACAAGAGCAGCATTGAATTATATCGGTGGAATAACTGACCGACAGGTAGCATTAATCGATGTGAATAAAGATTTGTTTCTAGTCTCTATACGAATCCCTGGTTTCGGCAGAGTGTGTAAAATAGGTATGCGTAGTGTTTAAAAAAAATTACGATTTTTATCTGACAGTATGCTAGTAATGTAACTACTGTTCTTCCCTTTTTATTTGTTTAGCCGCTATGGCGCAAGATATTGCATGGGCGACTGATGCGAATGTTTTAGCAGCGATGTTGGATGCGACGTTATCTGTGTGGCTGTGTCCTAATTGCGTGCACTATAGCGATCGCAAAATTATACGAAAGACAAGGATCGACAAAGAAAGCAGGTCTTATCTTCTTGATTCTATTGCAAAAGATGCGATTCTGTTGTTTCTCAAAAACAATATATTAATGATTCTAGTGAGTTTGGTAAGCAACCAAGTATTGCTAACGTTTATAATGGGATGGTAATGATACGGCGTGGCGACGGAGCGTTAGTAGCTTCTTCTTTTTATACTTTTTTCATTAGTCTCCATCAACATATACTGAACAAAAGATGGAAGGAAGCACTATCTCTTTGTCGAGTTGCTCAGGTAATTAATATCCATCTGCTTTTCTCTTCGATAAATTTCTTTTGAAACGTATACATATTTTGAACAGAATGAAATACTGTGGACTTGCATGGCTGTTATGGCAACAGACAATAAGGAATTGAACGCCGCGGAAGAAGCATACGCAGCAATTTCGCGATATGATAAAGTCGATTACATTCAGTATATAAAGGTAATGGTAAAATTATAAGAATAACACATTTGGAAATAAGCCAGTAACTTGAGATCTTCGAAATTAGAGTTTACCAAATAAAACAGAAAGATTGGCGGAAATGGCGCTTCTGTCGGGAGATCTATTGACCACAGAAGGTATACTTTTGCAAAACGGATTAACAGAGGAAGCTGTACGAATTAACATTGAAGTATACAATTGGAATAGGTACCATTCCCTTTTAATTTATAAAATAACTTTCTGGATAACTATTGCCATTTTTAATTTGTTGATCATTAACTTAGAGCACTGGAATTAGCGATCAGGCATAAGAAGCAATTGGACGAGGTACTAAATGCAAGGAAAAGATATCTTCAAGTAATCAATAAAAAAGAAACAAATCAAAATTTTCTTGCATATATGGCGAACGTTGCAAAGGCACAAGTAAATTGAACAATTTTATGCTATCGCACAATATCGAGTATCTTGCACATAATTTTATGTTTTTTCTTTATTAAGCAGTGAGACAAAAATTGTTTTCACCAGGAAGCTGCTGAGAAGATTTCGCTTAAACGAGAAGAAACTGAATTACCAGAAGTAGAAATACAAAAAAGCGAAACGCCGGAACAAGAAATGACTATCTGAAGGCACAACAGTATTATCATTTATACCAATTATTTAGTAAAATATATAAAAGTACAGTACAACAAGCCTGTGTTTCAAAATATCTCAGTTGAGCAAAGTTTTTAATTTTTATGATGATTTACAAATATCTTACATGAATGATGGTTTGCATTTAAGTACTATAGAGTGTAAATTATATTTTATGCAGTTATATTTGAAATACGTTATAAAATTAGAAGTTTTAAAAATACAGAGATCATAAAAACGAACAACATGGCGAATAGAAACAGGAATATAAGTTTTCGTGAGTACCACGTTGTTTCTTTCGTCGCAGGTCTGTATCGCGTTACTAGAGTAGTCTGAAATTAACAATACATCTTTTGATTTCAAATCAAGGATCATGTGATTGTTGTATTTTTATTTTTTATAATATATATGTTTTACCCATCCACCGTTAGCTTGTATCCATGCAGCAAGATCCTCTTCTAAAACATCCGTCATACCTGAAACAAAAAGCAGTTTAGTGATAAATGTTATAGATTGTATTCGGTACTTTCAACTAAACGAAAGACTTCCAAGGTAAAGAGATCAAGATTAAAGCAGTAATCATCGCAATTTTAAAACAATTACCTCTTTGTACAGCAGGTAGATATTCAGGTTTGCCCTGACGTACGCAATCTACAGCAATACCACCAGCAACCGCGTAAAGGGCTATCACTTTACTCCAAGTCATCTCTCCATTCCTGATCATTTCCCTGGAGATATCGACGACGGCCTCGCTGACGGACTGTTCTGACGAGAAGCTACCACAGCCGATTTGCCGTGCAACACGATTGAACAAATTTGGATGCATCTTCTCTAGTTCAGCTCCAACTGACACTAACTCTGGATAAACTTCTCCGACAACTGCCCCTCCAGGAAGCAGCATGGCACTTCTCATCCTTTTCAATCCAAGCTTCCGATGAAAGATTCCACATCGTTTCAGACGATTACGAATGTATTGAGCGCACAATGATGATCCCTGTACATACAAATCAAGTAAAATTGAGCCTTTGATCTGCTCTTTTATTTTGTGTTGACTTCTCTTTGTTAGCTAAAATAACAAAGTTCTTTTAAAAAGAAGTTAGTTTTAACATGTAACAGTATGATAAAATTGTTTTACTGACATTTAAGAGATTGTTTGTTTACAGATGGTGATACGACGATTACATGCCTGTGATACTGTGAGTTCGATCGAAGCCGAAACCGTTCTCCATCGAATCGTATGAGAGATCTTTCTGGAAACAACGTCGCTGACATTGCTGAACCTTCTTCGCGCCGAATCAACCACGTGAAAAGGCGAGACTTCTTGGTTATTGGATAGCGGAAAAGCGGCCAAATTCGAGTGTAGAGACAGAGCGAGGCTGTTCCTACGATACGGTTGCCCTGCGTTCCCAGAATTGTCCTCCAAGCCGCGTAGAGATCCGACGAGCCCAGACATTGAAGTATCCTCCTTGGAGAGTGCCTGCCATTCAGGCTTTTCAGGCTTGAAGAATTTTAACGATCGTTAAAAAAACTCGACACCTTATTCCCCGGGATAAGTAGTTCTCTTCTTTCCGTTTACGGAAAGAATTAAACATTCAGCTTCTTGGAAATTTCTAATTTATGCCTTATCTCTTGTAAACCGGATTCTATCCTTCTAATAATTATATTTATAGAAGTATGAACTTGTATAAAAATCCGAAGTCTAGCAGTTGATTCATCTCATTCATTGATTCACCGCTGTTTTTTTTTTTTTTAATCAAAGTTTGTTTCATTTTATGATTAGAAAATTCAATTGATCAGTGAGACCATCCTTACACTACCAGGTATCCAAAAATCTTTCCTGCAAATATTTACAATTTATTTATGTGAATAATACGTCGGCTAGTTATTCTGATGGTAATTTAATTTTTACAGGAACACCTCCCCCCGGATTGTGACAAGGACAACACGGCAAGGCCCATCGATAAATATCTTCAGTCCCTTTATGGCGATCTTGAGGCACGTACACGCACGAGCGTGCATTGCGAAAGAGGGATGTCGATATATCTTTCTGTCCTTACTACCACAAAAAGCCATGGTACATTCACACCAGGTATCGTAGCGTATTTATTATTCCGCTGGTAAGTACAGCTGTTGTTATCTGGCAGCCTTATTTGGCGCGGTTATTCGACACGCCTCGTGGTGCTTTGTGCGCCGTGCCGCTAAGATATACTCTCTCATTGTATGCATATTACTCACTTTTCATTTGCCTTCTTAACGAGCGAGATTAAGCACGGCGTGTGTGTCACTTTTTAAATTAACGCGATCTCCGTGCGGGCTGTTGCAAAATCACGGTCCGCCGGACAGTCTAATTGGAATAGCGCGCTAATTAAAGATGTTCGTTCGGCCACAGGTTTAAGGTCGTCGTTCAATTATAACAGTCGAGCACTAATAACAGGTTGAAGAAGCTATTTGTTTTATGTATCGAAATGTTCGATAGACAAAAGAGTACGTTCCCTGCAATTTTTATGCATTTCTGGGAGATTTAAACGTGTGAAAACTCATAGAATGCAGGTGGTAATCAAAAACGTACAAAATGTGTAAATATCTTTTCAATTCTGTTCATAGAAAAGTTATAAACATCTGCAGTCTACTTGTTCCAATATCTGGTAGAAAAAAACAGATTTAAAATATTTTTAATTAGGTTGATAAAACTCCATAAATATCTGTGTACTTTATTCATATTATCTTAGAATTACTTTAGAAGAGATTAATATTTTTAGCTACTCTAAATTAAAATGAAATACGTACTCCATAGTCAGATTCAACCTGCAGAAATATTTATTTTTCTCGTTTGATTTCATATTTAAAAAAGTCATGCAACTTCTTGACCTCTGTTCATTTGTCTATTAAACTTCGTAATTAAAGGCTGATGGATTCTTGCAACAGTTTCATGATGTTTTAATTAATAAGCTGAGTAATAAAAAAAAAAATCGCCTTATTTGCATAACATAATATATGAATAACATATGGTCATAATATATGAAAATTTAATTAAGTCTACGATCGTCTGGTCTGAGTGTTCGTTAGTTGTCAATTATTAGTAATGTCTAGTTGATCGATTATCGTTTGAGAGAACATTGTTCAAATTCAGAAATTTCGTCTTTTACAAATATTTCACAACTCTTTCTGTCAAACAAAAGAGGAAAGAATGAGCTTTCAACATAATTAGTATTATAAGCTGAAACATTGATAATCAAGACAGCTTCAAGATATATTAACCCTGGTGTTCTTCTCATTTCAGACATCTCCTTTTCAAATTTGAAAATGCTTGAAGATAATGGTGAAAAGTGTAAAATATATAAAAAATAGAATTTATATATTTAAGAACTATCTACAATAGCTTCTGTCATATTTGGATATTTCATAGAATTTAATCTTTCAAAATTTATTGTTGAAAAATGTACAGATGGTTAATTATGTATTAGAAACTGGTTATTGGAAATTTCATCAGAGGCGAATATGTCCCACACGCCACGGTATTCAAAAATTCATACAAATTACTGTACATTTCAATTATATCCATTAAAATATAATTTTCATTTCGTGTTATACATAGATCCGAGGAGAACTGCAGGGCTAAACATTCACTGTATCAGAGTCAACTGAATTTCCTCTGAATTTACTTGAACTTCGGACCAGCGACGAACAAATTACAATGAATTTACCACTGGCACGGTGTCCTCCTCCTCCTGAACCACCAATTGAAAGTCTGGCTTCATGGTAATTAACGTGCGACCGCCTCATTAGTCACTGTCATCTAACCCGCTTCGTATACACATTATATGCGTAACATGCTTCTGAATTATCGCTTATCAACGGTGTAGCTGGTCGGTTTGATTATCGTTCGAGGAGCGTGCGCGACAACGCGTTAAATCGTTTATTTTATCAATTCCCAAGGCTTATTTCCGTGTCGCAATGATGCTCGATAATCAAGTTGTACGTCAGTTTTGCAATTTTTAATATGACGGCCTTTTTATCAGAGACTAACGAAGCCGCGAGGTAGTGTTACGCTTCTCTGGACGATCCACGAGGATAAAAGACGCGAAAAATGACGGACGTGCGCGTCTGTCGACCAGACCTAAGATTAGTTATGCATTTATGACAGGTGCAGTATGAAAATATATGCCAGGATATGTACAAATGCAATATTATAGGAAATAAGACGTTATATCATTTTTGAAGTTGAAGCGGGCGGTTGTTGTTCTTTGGATGACTGAGGATTGAAAATCGTTCGAAAATAATACGAAATTTATCTAAGAATTAATTGTGATTCCTCATTTGTGATTATCATTAAATGATAGCTTCGTTAGTATCATTTTGGCAACATTAAAGTATCCATAATTAAATAAATTGGTTATAAAAGCTGAATGTTTTAGACAGCCAATAAAGATTAAATGCTTTAAATTAGTTGATCGTTCTCGTTAGAAATAATGGTATAGAGTGTTTAATTAGACGAAAAGTAAATTAAATTACTTGGTTAACTGGAGCATTGAGTTGATCGTGATAGCAATTAGTTAAGTCTTAAAAAAAGAACGAAAGTGGAACAGAGAAAACGATTAACAATTAACATCATTCCTAGGATATTTTTATTATTTTTTGTTTGATCACACTCCCGCCGTTATCATTGACTAAATAAAACAATATATATTTTCCATATTTTTCTTTCTATTTCCTTAGATTATAATCTGTCTCAAACAGTTTACTATAATTTGCTACTTAGATTCTAAGATAAAGAGATATAAAATTATGTGCATTTTTTTTTTACAAAATAATAGCCGCTAATTGTTAATCATTCGTTTATGGAAAGCATCAAATACTAAAATTAACGTCAAACGATAAAAAGATTTCCACAATTTCTAAAGTAAATTCTTAAGCAAGAAGCAAGGCTTAGTGTATAATAGTTATAAGAAAAAAAGCTATTGAAGAATTTTAAGTAGGAAAACTAAGGATGGAACTTAAATTAAGATGTTGTGATAAATTATGCCGATGAAAAGTCGGGCACACGAGTAAACAGAAATACAGGCAGGTGTTAATTACATAACGTAAAGAACATTTGTCGTGAAAACGGCACGTGTAATAGTCACGAACAGGACTAAAATAGTAAAATGTTAAGAAATTATCCTTGGTATTTACAATTTTGGCAATTTTTAATTTCGACGACGAATGAATTATTTATTACAGTTTTATCGAATAATAATTAATTACGAATAAATATTCCGGAGAAGATTCGCAAACGATTGACTTCGTTAATATATCTCAATGATTTGATTGCGTTTCACTGAAATGTTTATAGGCCTTTTATAAACAATAAATCTTTTATACGACAACTTATTGAGATTCATTAGAAATAAATTGACTGTAATTAATAAATCGACAACGAGGAACAATTAAATCAACGCGAGCTAATAAATTCTCCAGTGCAGTTAAAGTCGTAAGCCGTAAAGTGTACATAAATCATTGATCGAGAAGGCGAGTCTTTCTTTACCCTGAGAAAGCACGTTTCGAGCCATTAAACTACGGCCTTTTGTCGTGAGCGTAGTTTGTATTTTGAGCACGTAACCACCGGTGTTACTCACAAAATACGAATGTCAGCTTTAAAAAAAAAAAAAAAAGAATGGACACTGGATGACACTGGATTCTAATAAAAATCAGTACAAGTTTTTGAAGAGAATAAAATATTTTAGATTAATAATTGATAACAATTTTGTAATATTATATTTCATTTGAAATGGTACCAACGAGTAGGCCCAGTATCAAAGATTAAAATATAATATATTTGATATTGAAATATCTTCTTTAGTAATTAATTGAGTGTAAAAATGAGAGTGAATTAATCTTTCTTATCATCTTCTTTTGAAAAAAGTGTTTTTCAGTTTTCTTCTCTGAAAAGTGTTTAACAAATAAACACTGGTACTGCGACATTTCATTCATTTGAAAAATTATAATTCTTCCCGCTCTGTTTTTTTCTACAGATGACGTGTAACATGCACATGCGCAGAAGACGCTCCGTATTAGATGCATCGAATAAATCATTCAAAATAATCTGTATATTTTAGCATCTTATTACGGCTTAACAAGTGTAATTTCTTGGGAGAAGAAGAAAAAAAGGTAATTGAGTTCAGACGTTGAAAGTTGAAAATGTTGTTTGAAATTATTGTACGTACGCTGTGAAGCGAGTAATACGAAATGTAAAATATCGCGACTTGACGATCGATTCATTTATCGATATTATATAAAAACGATTAGAACTGTTGAAAAAGTAAACTTCATTGTAATGCACGAACATGTTGAAACATATTTATTCATATGTTTCAATAGATATCTCCGACCTTCCAGTTATTTACAATACACTGCATTTAGAAAATAGTAACGGTGTTTTCTGCATAAATTTACATAGCTTATCGTTCTGCCGATTAAATTTAACCCGTGAATTTCTTAGGTGACGCAAGTGTAAAAAGAAGCAAAAAGGAAGTGAAGAATTGAAAGGGCGACGTGTAACTAACAGTACGAAAATATAGGTCGAGAAAACATCCAATAAAAGATGCGGGCTACACGTTCTTCAGGTAACGGCTGTGCCCCCCTCCTTTTATAAATTTCTCAAAAAAATGAAGCAATTCTATCATATAAAATGTAATTTATTTATTATCACTCATGACGGTTAACAAACGATATCCTTTAAATTTTTAAATATAAAACAAACGAAGTATATGTATTTTATATATATATATACACATTTGGTATGAACTTCTGAAAAATTTAGATCATTGCAATTACTGCAAAATTCTTGATTCAAAGATATAACCATATTTATGAAAAAATTGACTTACTCGCGGGAAAAAATACTATCATCATTTGGCTAACATAAAATTTTATTCATCTGCATTTATTGACAATTAATTATTTGCAAGTGTTTCAACAAGAAGCTATATTGTTACCTTGAATGTTAACGAAATAACAAAGAGTTATCGCTATTTTCCTTCGCAGAGTCGTTCGCACAGGTACACTTCATGTGTGAAATCGATTCCAAAAAAAAAAAAAAAAAAACACTTTCGTAGAAATTTATAGGTTTAATCACTATCTTATCGAACATGCTACGTTAAAAGTTTTACACCATCTATGACGAACAGTTCATTTTTTTTTTCTTTTTTTTCTTTTTAGAATTCGTGACTCTACTTTGTTGAGATTATTATATAATTTAAAAAGAAAAAATGTTATACGTGGTCGAAAGGTGCGAGGAACATGCGATGCACCGTCGAAATTGCTGGGAACACAGCGCGAACAATACTGGTAACTTTTCAACTACACACGATACAAATTGAAGATGCGTAAACGCCGTGTGAATGTCATCCCTACTTACATCGATGTACAACAGTTGAGTCACTATACAAAAAACACTTACCGAGATTAATTTGCAATTGAACGCACATAGATGAACGGCCCTGAAGTATTTCGTAACTCTTTCGAGCTATTTTTTTTTTTTTTTTTTTTAATTAAGAAACAAGAATACAATATATATCTTGCGTAAAAATGTATTTTTAAATTCGCAATAACTGATATTTAATTTTTACCATACATATTGCAACGTAATGGTAACATCTATCGAATATTTTTTTCAAAATAATTGAATTACATTTAATGGAACTTTTGGGAATCTTCTAATTAAAGAATATATACTCTTTTGATATAAATGTTTAAACTGTTAAAAATTTAGTAAAATGTTTTTGTAGTTTAAAAATGCTTTAAAAATAGAGATCATTGAACTTTCATTGGACATGAGTTTGAACGATTTTACTTATAAAAATATGAATTTGTAAAGGGTATTTTCAATTTTGAAATGACGCGGGGTTTTATACTTTGTTGGGGGCGTAAATGATTCTGATATTATTTTTAAGAAAATTATTTAAGCTACTGTAAATTTCTCGAAATGTAATTGATCGTTAAGAATGTTTTATTTTTGATTGTCAAAGTTCCGAAAAGTTTTGTTAAATTGTTACTCGTTATTAAAATTCATAGTCCAAAGCTATACTAATTTCTTCTATACGGACGTAAACAATTGCATTTATTCCTCATTTATGACAATTTTCAAGGATTCTGAGACACTTTTAAATAGATATTGCATTACACTTTACTTTCACATGTTGGCTTTCTTAGGGTCACATGCAGTATAATATATTTATATAATAAAAAAAAAAATGTCACATGAGAGATCCTTCTCAAAATGGAAGGAATAGTAAGTTGGGCGATAAATTCATGTATAACAATATTCTATTCACAACGATGATATGATAAAGTAGCATCAAGAGGCAACAATTTTCTTCTTCAGAAACAGTATGACTTACATTTTATATATATATATATTATACATATGCATTATATATATGTATAATATAACAACACTGCGGAAAGCTTAAAAACACTCCATTCAATTATGTTTATTTTTCTTTTCTCATCATTTATAGGCATATTTATATTTATATATATATATAAATATATACATATTTATATATATATATGTATATATGTACGTATTTACGTATATATGTAATGTATGTATGTATGTATATATATATATTACTTCCTAACGTAAATTTATGTTATGCTGTACTACGTTAGAAACTTTGAATAATAATATTTTCCACTGTCAGCACATTATTATCAACTTTCTCTCAATTCACGGATATACAATAAATAAATATTCACTCATTCAATTATCACACGATTATAATTTCACAAGAAAAAAAAAAAAAAAAAAAAAAAAGATAACAGCATTTGCAACCATTAATAAGAATTTTAGAATAGTTAAGAAAAGGACACTAACGTAGAAACACAAGCTTTGATTTAAACAATTAACATGTGAATATGAATTATATAAATATAAATTAATAATGCAATAATTTAACTATATGGAACTCTATACACGCAGATTTCCTTTTCTTCAACTATTCTTACATGTTCGTACAAAATGCACATTTATTCGCATTGTGTTCGTAAAACTAAATTCTGTCGATTGCTTTATTTCTTTGTTCCAGTCGTAAACGCCTTTCACGTTTCGTATTTCTGAGAAATGTAACGTCTTTAAAATTACACTTGGGTATCTTTCAATATATTTCTCACGCTCGAGTTGAGTAACCCAACTCTATCTCAATAGTGATCATACTGATTTCCATTAATGTAAAACACATACATTTTACTATCGTAGCGTATCTTTTCGTTGAGATCAGCAGTGTATCCTTTTACTTTCGCTAATTTCCTGTGAATCGCGAGAGCACATTTATAAAACATTGAAAAGTGAACGTGATTTGTTATTATTCTATTTCATCGTTGATATTAGACGAATCTCAGAAAACGATTCATAAATTCGATACTATAACATTTAGAATTGAGTTTAATATCGTTATGTATAATGTGTATAATGTGATTAATTTCTGTCGTGTTGCTCGTTCATTCTTGCGTTTGCATCTCGCACAATTGTACGACAAACCCGATATACGAGGAAACTGATTAACATGACTGATTATGTTAAGTGAGACCGAAAGAAGTGACTCAACCGATGTACCGAACAATTTCTTCTTAGGCTCCTTTCTCTAACTATGTTTTTTCAATGTTCTGAAACGACCGTAACGTGCAGCCATATCAAGAACAACGTAGCATTTCCCAAATTGCGTCATTTTGCAGTCGATAAGATGACGGGGGGTGAAAGATACATGATTCTCCTACGCAAACATTATAATTAATACATATGTTGTCACTCGGACAAAAGTGGTGCCAGCCACTTCTACATCACAACCAAGGAATCTAAAATCGATGCCTTTAATCTTTTTTTTCACGCGCGCTTAATTTCACTCCTCGTCTTTCCCTTTCATTCCAAAAGAAAAGAAAAAAAAAAAAAGAAAGTAACAACAAGAAACTAAATAAAGAAGCAGGTACTCTAAGAGTTAATCGTGTATCGTACGATAACGATACAGATTTGATCACAAAGAGAGATAAAGGATAACAATAGTAACGCTAGTACGCTTCATCAGAATGCCCGAAGTGTGTACATGTGGTGTATCGACGATGTAACGTCGAAAAAAAAATCATCGCACTGTTCTCTGTACATGTAGATTTCCATATCTGGTACTAGTTGTTATTCTATTATCCACATAAATTTACACATTCTATATAAAATATACAAATCCTTAATACGCTAAGTGAAAACTATGGCTTTTCGTATTTCACTTTAGAAAACAGGTTAATTATCGCACGGCTTAATCAATATTTTGTTCTTTTTTTCAAACATAATCATCTCTAGAAAATAAAAAAAAAAACATCGTTGTTCAAAGTACCATTCGCCCCCTGCCATATATATATATATTTTCTTCGTTTTGTTTCTTACCACGCTTATACCATAATACTCATCGACGTATCATTTAACAATGAAGAATCAATCAATTTGATATATGAATTGTGTTGCATGTATCTACTTGCGCAAGGGGCACTATTTATAATATTTACAAGAAATTATTATGAAATCAACATACACATATATATGTATATGGTATATATATACACATAATATGTAACATATAAACAGTACTCTTTCCTTCGGTTGTCTTGCACTTACATCCAACAACTCATTAAAGCTAAATTGTAACAATACTAAAGTAAAATAAACATTGCAAAGTATTAACACATACGTATACGAGCATTACTGTTAAACTGCAAAATTAACAGATTCGGTGAAATTAATTTGCAGTATATATATACAAATTATATATATATATATATATATATATATATATATATATATATATATAATATATATATATGATAGTATCTGGTCCAATGAATATTAAGTATTCATGTAAATAACTAATCATTTCTTACATATTTACATATTATATCAAGATTCAACATAACTAAAGATGACTCAACGTTGATTATTGTCGATGTCGCAGACTACAATGTATGCGTTAGCAACCATTTCGTGTCTTACTTCCTGTTGGAGAATAAATTCGCGACACAATAAACGTAGGAATTGTCTGGTCGTTTTTGCAAACGTCGAGACAAATAATTGAACAAACAAGCGTAATAAAACGAAGGAGATAATCTCAATCGGTACAGAACCTCTTACAGCGCCTCACCAACGAAACATGCACATATAATAATACTAGTACCTCGCAAACGACTGAAGATGCATCACAAATACCGCAAGTAGAGAAGCGCGGCAAGTTTGCACATATATATATACGATACGAAGATACTTGTATATAGTGTATACAACACTATATACACATATATATATATAATATATATAGAAGAGAGTCACTAAATGGCAGTAGGGAATCAAATAAGCTGATACGTCGTAGTGCCAAAATCCTGTTTTCATTTTAAGCACCGGCAAATCCATATACTTCTAATACTCTAATCTCGAAATCGCCACTGGCACAAAGAGGTGGATTATTGAATGTAGAGCACCGATCTGTTTTACCGTATCTTATATTTTCGTCCATCCATATCGCCTGACCGTCCCTAAAAATAAAAATAATAAATTTCTTCTTGTCAATAATTCAGAAACTCGTGTATAATATTATTCTACAATACAAATAGGAAAATCTTACCCTCCCCCAATTGTTATCATTTTGGAATCGGCCGCCATAAACAGTTCAGCTGAATGATGAACTTTAGAATCATTGTGCGAAGAGTCCATACCCACCCAAGGATATTTTGCTCGTTCAGGATACAAACTGAATAGGAAAGTTTCACCCGTTCCGAAATAGGCTTGTCTTTGTCCTTTATCATTTTTCAAATTACGTTCACACCATCTTGTGGAGCAATAAGCACCAAATACCTTATGGCAGAATACAAATGAATATTAATTGAAGGTCTTGAATAGAAGTAAAAACGCAACATTTTATAAAGAACAAACTTACTTCATTGTTACATGTTTTTATCATTAGAAGAGTTGGTTCATGTTGCTCTACTCTTACATAAAACGTTGTCAAAGAACAACCATGCTCCTCTGTTGTATACAATAGAATTGGTTGATACATGGTGATCCGCATAGGCAGCCAGGACCATAAGGTGAATAACTGTCACAAAATAAATGTACAAAAAATTAATATAACACGTTTATCATGGTCAGTAATTATAATTGCGCAAACATTAGTTTTCAATAAATGTCTAGATCAAGACATTTATTGTATAAGAATACAGCAAACTAAGTCACAGCAGTGGTAGATCATGCACTTGATTGAAAAAAATTAATACAATACATAATTAAAGCCAAACAATATAAAAGGAAAAAATATTTATCCTTCTACTTCTTTATTCTTTTATATAAACGTAACTTTTGTTCTGTATTGTTATCTTATAATATTCAAATAAATATTACATACAGCTCTTCTATTGCTCTATTGCTGTGCTTTTTAATAATAATTCATAATTTATTTTTCTAAAAACTTCTGATATTGTTTGTTATTTTATTATTTCAATTAAGAAAAAACTATCAAGATACAACTAAGAAATTAAATGCAAAATATGCAAGATGCAAAAATATCATGCAGAAGGCAAGAATATCATTCAAATATGAAGGAAGAAAAATTGATATAATATTATAAATCATAATATTGAACAAATTATAGGGTTGTGAAATGATAATTTCATGAAACAATACGATAAAGACTTAATAAACTGTAAAAATATGGATGTGCATGTGACAACATATACTTTTAATAGTGTTCAAATAGTGTAAATTGTAGCTACAAGTTTACTTATTATTGCTGTTGCACACTAATTACATCGAAAAATATTCAAAATGGATGTAAAAAGAATGTAACAATAAAAATTAGTAGAGGCTGAAGGAAGGAATTCCATGGACAATCAATACAAATGCATGAAAATATGATAGGAACAACATGCCGAATTAATAGTAAATATGTAACTGAGCATATAATTTGTTTAAAGGGAATGCGAGTGAGTGCACTGTTCTATTCAATATGTAAATCAGGCCATACATCATTCAGTTCAATGTGTATACTCTGCAAGAACATTAAACCTCAGGCAAAAAAAAGAAGTACAACAGAGAAGTGATAATGAAATGGCGACTACAAAAGCCGACTTAATCGATAAATACTAATTGTACTTGTACCTTGAACATGAATGACCATCATCATTTACATCGATCTGACCCTTTTTAAAACTTTTACTAGAAGATCTGCTAGACAACAGCCATTGTTCAATCGACATGAAATGTATCTTACAGACTTGAGCTACTATCATTCTGATAGTAGCCAAAGATGGGAATACCACGTTGACTAAACAACCTATTTAATATATACTTCAAGGCGATTGTATATACACCAATAACGACAATATCGACATGCCACAGAGAGGCGAACCAGCGAACTACAGAAAACTCTGCTACTGCCGAACTATTTATTCTTTCTGGATCGAACGGCCGTAAGTACTTACATCAGGCACATCTAGAATCTGGGAGCATATGCTTTGAATGGGATAAACGCCCATTGACAGAGCACGCGGTCCAGGACTGTGTGCACCCTACACCCATGGACCATTAAATCCATCATCATTCCAGTAACGCAGCATGACACAAGACAACATAGAACCGTCAGTTATATTGGTTTTGGTTCAACTTTACGTGTCGGAAAATAGAAATAAATAATATAACACTGGTTAAAATCATCAGAGATACAGAGCATAACAAGAGACGACATCGGCCACATGTTTGAAAATTCTCCTCTAATGTTACACAAAAAAGTAAATGGTAAATATAGAAATGGAATGCTCAACTCACTGTTAACCAGTGTAACGATTTCGAAAAAGAAAATTAAATGATGTAATCAATGTGCTACCAAAGCGTTGAACACAATTAGTATATAAAATTAAAATCTGTTCGTTTCGAACATTTGCTGTTTGATTTGTTTTTTTTTTTTCCTTTTTTTTTTTTATACAGCTATTACAACCAAACTGTGATATTGTACTGCGAATAGATTGAAATTTATGAAGCACGCTACTGCATTCACTGATCGAAACTGATGTTGCGATTTGAAGCGCTTCCAACAGCTTTGTTCTTTTTTGCTCTTTCGCCTTAAGAGATAAGTTCAACCATCCTGATCGATCAATGACAAGCAAACACATTTCGTGTAGCCCACCAGTAACAGTCACCATCTATATATATATATATCGAGCTTTCCAACATCTCATAAAATATACAAGTAGCAAAGAATAGAATTTTCCGACAGAATAATATAGGTATGTATTTCTTTTATTGTTACATTTGATACGTCGTATTTACGAAACATTGAAAGCCAGTGAAGGCCTGATAAATAGAAGATATGAACTTTATTGGAAGAGATTCTTTCTTATTCTCTGATGTTCAAAAAGGTAGTAACTGCAAGTGGATAGACGGTAACAGCAACAAAGCTGGCACGATAAGTGTAACAATGGGTGAGTATGAATGAATGTAACAGGTATAGTAGTTCAGGAACAGAGGGCAGAGCACATGAAACTAACAACACATTTCCCAAAAAGATAATTATACGATACCCTGTCTTTGTATGTGTCTTCACACTCTTTCTGAAAACAAAGTGAATCATTGAACAGCTTTTGCATAATTGCATTCTAATACCCTAAGAAACTATTAATTTAACCCATCATCTTTGAAAAATGTCTACTTATAAGAAAGAAACATTATTATTAAGAAAGAAACATTAATCACATTGATACTAAACCTTTGAAACCTGCAACATTTCTCACAAATAAGGAAACATTCGCAACATTTAAAGATAAAAAAAAAATAATAATAATAATGGGCTCACATATATGTACATTGCCTTATGAATATAATTTCATACTTCGAAAATAAGTGGGAGATCAATATCGTTGACATGCTGTATAATATTCAACTACTACAGAATTAACAGAATATACTCCATAAGAATTGATCAGAAGGATAAACAATCAGATAGAATGAAATAAACTCTTAGCATGTACGTGAGTCCATACTTTGTTGGAAAAAACTTCAAATCAAGTTATGAGGTGTCTTTACACCACCTTTAAAGAAAGAGGAATATGGATAACATACTTCTCGTATCGTGAGCGTATGCGACATCATTTGAATGTTGACTTGAGATTGACTCGTTGGCAGATTGTCTGTAGATCGTGATCTGGCCAATGATTTAGATCCCGTTAAAACGCTTCTACTTTTTAGAGCCATTTCTGTGCGTAAAAATACCCTTGATATGTATGCTGAGCTGAGTCCACGTATTCCAAATGCGGTACGTAAAAATTTAGCTGGCGTTACCTGTAAGTTTACATACTATTAATATCTAATGTTATTTATATACATTTATAGTAACAGTCAATTATAGTAACATTTATTTTATATTCCAGATAAAATTAAAAATAAACTACAACTCCCAACAAAGAATTTATTTTACTCAGAAAATAGAAGTACCAAGAAAAAAAATCAATTAGCGTCAGTATTTCAAGTGATTCTATACAGATAACGCATCGACGATCAATGTGTTAAAGAATTTTGCACACTTATACCTACCGGTATTTGCCTGCAGAACTTCGAGAGAGCAGCGTCAATGCCGTTCTTTGAAATTTCGTTCATCCATTCAGAGTTTTGTAGCGACGAATGCTTATAGAATAATAAAACTATAGCCATTGCTACTCGATAGAAAACCTGAAACAAAGTAATGATAAATTAACAAGAAGGATGATTTAAGTTCCACAAATATGGATTATGAATCTCTGCACAACATGTTACAAAAAGGCAACGTGCAAAGATGCACATATCTAGCTGATTTCTCATTGGCATACGGTCAACACTCAGATTTACTATTCATACTATTCCTGGAAAAACATTCCATACATATGGATATATCTTGAATTTTATCCTTGTCTTGAATCGAAGCCAATATTATTTTTCAGCGTATCACGAAAAGATGCGATAAAAGGAATATAAATGTCTCAAGTTGATCCCACTCGAATCTTGCAAATACCGACCTTAATGCCTTCGTGAAGAAAACAGTCCATAACCCTGACTAGATGCTGAAAAGGAAGAAGCTGCAGAATCCACCACATCCAATCCATATAAATTCTTTCTGCTCTTGATCCAGAACAGTGCCTCGCTAAATGCACCGCTGCTGATTTCTTCAATGAAAGAATTTCAATGCTATATATTCTTAAAATATACATTTGGTTTGAACGTATAAATGTAATCTTTACAAATGACTGGGGGACAATGTTTCAATCTTGATTTTTTTTATATAAAATAGAAGCAACTAGTTCCACTTAAAAGATACAACATTTGTTAATTCGCTTCGTAGCTCTTTCTAATTCTGGTTGTAAAACTAGATTTTTAAAACTAGAGTTTTACATGCAGATTACTAATCGTTAAAAGATTCACTTGTCAAAAAATCTAATTACATCTATACGTATTCTTGTTCCGTTCTAATCTCTCTTGTTTAACGTGAAATGATAATAGAATTGATAATAGAAATCAGTCAAAATATCATTTAGAAAGTAAGCTGAAATGACGAATACAATGTTTCCTGGTAAACATCGTATCTATAAGTAAACTAAGAATCATTTCAAGCCAAACAGGCGAGAACGGTCGGGATCGTGATTCATCTTGTGCTCAAAGTTACTTACCACGTGCTTCTTAGTGATTTGCTCTACGGTTTTCCAGGTAACTTCGTAAAGAAGCTTCGTCTGCGTAATGAACATCTTTTCTTTAGCGGCGACCAAGCTGGCCATACAATGATAACACTCTTCCTCTGTAATATAGACGGATGAGGGAAAAATGGTAATCTCGTGAACATTTCTGATTTCGTTCTATTAATAAGACTGGGATTCCATCCAACCGCCTGTCCAACATTTTAATTTATGCGAGCAAACAAGAAATCCGACTTACGGCACGCGAATGTGTGAATTTTTATTGCGACCGGTGGGAACGAATGAGAAGGGAGTTTCTTGGAAAGCTTCGCCCCCTTTCATCCTGTGTATCCCAAATGGCGAGGTGGACGTTTTGTTTATTTATACATTTACCTGGCATAAAGTGAAGCAGAAGAGCCGTGATGGGATAAAGAGAAGGGCTGTAAGTAATGTCAGGGCAAGCGTATCCCAGGACAGACACAATCCTGTCAGCAACGCTCCTGCCTTTTCTCGTCAGGTGGTACGACAGGCAATGAGTGCTGTCCACGAACGGTGGTAGCATGATTGATTTTTCCGGCAGCTCTATAAACATCAGGTAATTCCATACATCAATCGCCGTTGCTAAAAACAAAGTAAGTCAAAGTAATCCGATCTAATGAGGCTCGATCGCGAATATGAAATACATTGGATGAGCAATTTTCATTCATAAACACAAGAAGAGGATAATTTGTGCAACATACATTGTACAAATTTTCATCAATGTTAACGTATGCGATCGCTTTTATGTAATGTGCTGAGTAAAGTAAAATTAATTCACTTCGAACGTTACGTTCGACTGCTTACAGTGGTAGAATTTCTTCACTATTGATCAGTTTTCGCATTAGGTAAAGGTGCTACGTATCAGTTTTTTTTTTTTTTCTAATAATAAATACACGTTTGCGTAATGAAGAACACTACCGAATCGGATATATACAAACTCTCTGTATCCATGTATCAAATTTATGAACTCACGCGAACTTGAGATTAGCTATAATAATTAAAATAATATATATAACGAAGATTTATGAAGGAGACAAGTAAATGCTACTAAAGACTCTATTTCTAGAGAAAAGAAATACTACAATTAGATGTAATTATAGAGAATGTTAAATTATTAATAATTACAAGCTAATTTTTAATATGTTTTTTTCAGTTAAATTTGTCGTTACATCTTGGCAAAAGCCTGTACATCACAACAGAAGAATAATAATGTCACAGTCAATCAACATTCTATAAATATTGATGATGTTAAGAAGCAAGAAATAACATGAAAAAATGAATGGATGAAAACCGCTTTAAGAACACAGAAATACACCATTTACATACTGAAAAAAGTAGCATAACAGTTGTAAAGGTATTACCTGACTTTTGTCCTAAACTTTTACACTCTTGTTACATTCCAGATTGTATAAATAATTTAATCAAATATTTTGGATACAACATTTATAAAATGAATATTATGATTTATATAATAACAAGTAAGAATTCTCTACTCGATGAAAATAATGTGATTTAAATCGAGTTCATTTATCGACACTCGGTTAAATTGATCATTTCTCGTCTAATTTTATTTGCTAGAAGGTTGAGGCAAGCAATTTTGGTACGTTCGTAATATAATTATAGCATTTTGCTGAAAAATTTTCTTCTAAATCGACTTAACTCTCAAAGGGTTAAATACGTGTTACGTAAGAGACAGGATCCGGTCTTAAACAGATAGAACATACATATGCTCACTAGTGCAATCATTTAACTATATATTGTTATTAATCATCACGTCATTTATTATAACTTGGAAACTTTAATATTCTAAGTTAAGCAAGAAGTAGATCATTTGGAACTTAACAGAGAAGAAGCAAAAATAGACTTGACAGACTGAAGAATAATACTTCCTACATAGAGTCGATAACTTTTGTAATTTTTAGCCAAAAGATATTCCAACCACTATACGTGCACGTTGCACGCATTGAGATGCTAATAATACATGTCTGTGTAGATAGATTTTCAGCTCGTTATTATTAGAATAGTAAATAACATTGTACATTGTAATTTCGAGAAAAGTGATACGGCCAGTCGGGGACAAACCTGTAGTTCCAAACACTTGATTGACCATGTCCCAATAGAATCCATCGAGCATGTTTTTCCCATGTGCGTGCTGGTTGCATAGGGCTGGCCACAACTGCGCCCTGATCCCGTTGTTCAATGGCCACGCGTTCTCCCTTATGATCAGCTTAGCCTCCCTCTTCCTGCCGGCCTGGAGAAGCGCGTTGACCTCGTTGAAGGTCTTCAGCGTTTGCTTCTTGCTGGTGGGCGACTCCGGCTGTATGACGATGTTCGTCGTGTCGACGTGCGGCGGGAATGCGTCGTCGACGTCGACATCCGCCTCCTCCTCGAGCACCGGCAGCATATTCGGCAGATTGTCCGTCGAGGAGGGTGTCTGTGTGACTAACATCGCACTACGGCGTGAGACTTTTCTTCATGATGCCCGTTTCTCCGTTTACTCTTCACGCTAACATTTACGTCATATCCTGAGATGTTTCAATTTTCATCTGAAAGCAAAAAAAAAAAAAAAAAAAAAAGGTGAAACACGTTTGGCAAAGTACAAACGCACAGATATATATTAGTTACAAGAGGTAGAACATATATATTTATCTCTTTACACACATATTCGAGAAAGAATGAAATCTTCTTCGGCTCGTTTGCAATCGATATAAATATTACCATTTAATTTTGTTTGTTGATCAAATTTTCGATGAATATAAATCTATTTACTTTCGAGAAGCCAAATACGTCAGGCATACTCTCTACCGGACGCGACATATAAAAATACGATGTTTTGCCACCTATTTTTAAATTTTGCTCGTTACCGAAGGTGAAAATTTTTATTACGTTTAAATAATTATGACCGCGTTTGCGATTAACGTGTTTCTTCTCAAATTAATTTTCCTGTATATTTGTTTATAATTCAATTAATTATAAACAACATATTATAATTAATTAATTAATATAATTATAATTAATTAATTAATATAATTCAATTAATTATAAACAACACACACACACACACAGAAACCATTTAAATGGGATCATCTAAATAATTCCATTATTAAGATATATTAAGATATAAATAAACTTTGTTAATAAAAATTATTCAATATTAAGAGGATCATAATATTGCAGTATCTAATAATTTTTTAAATAGGTGGAGAGATTATCGATATTCGAGATTATGATATTCTCTATGCACGTCGCAAAGTTATTAATTTAGGAGATCTTCTTCAATTCTTGAAGAATTTTAGATTTTAATTATCAATTTTAGATCGTAATTAATCTTCATTACTCTTTTTTAATCTTCATTCACTACAATTCTGTCGTACAAAAGACAAAAACAGACAGGGACAACAGTCTTGTATTCATATCGTCCTTGTCTTTTATGTATAGATTTTACAGAATTGAAGTTAAAATATCTCTTAAATTAATAGTTTTTGTAATGTATAGATTTTTAGAAGTAATACAGTTGAAATAAGACTTTGATTATTTGTATCAATTGAAGTATAAATTATTATACAATATCTCGGTTAATTATTATCTCGATATCGATCCTACCGTGCATTTAGATTAATTATGTCGCGTCTCGTTCTTTCTGTACTTGTGTCGCGCACACTGCTGTACCGACGAATTCGAAACGATAAGTCAACGGATACACACAAGTTGACGTAAACACAGAATGTTTGTTTCCCTTTGCTAGATGGCACTGTACAGATAATCGAACATTTGATTTGAGCAGTGTTTCGTTGCTTCACAGAGGTGGTAGCTCTTGTCTCTTACCTAACTACAATTAGGAAATCGTTGCAGCGAAAAGTATATCGCGATTAGCTCGTTAAAAAAAAAAAAAAAGAAATAACGTATAATTTGCAAATTATACTAACTTAATTTTGTAGTCTTGTCAATTATTTATTTCTAGCCACTGGCGAATATTGTTTCCTCGAGTAAGCTACAACAAACCGATGGCCGCACGTTTCCAAGAATTTTCCGTAAACATTCCCATAATAACAGCGACTAGGTCTTGCACATAATCACTCTGGTGCTCGTTCGAAGCAAAAAAGGGAGGTGAAGAAAATAAGGAGGGGAAGTATTATCTAAGGCAATGTATCTTTCGCGTTCGCCATGTGTAACGTACGTTTCCTTAATGTCGATTCACCACGATGATGCACCGGTCACTTCGCGACCGAAATCAATTCTCTTCTGTAAAGATGCCAGCGTAAACAACGCTCGCAACCAAGCGAGTGCCTTCTCGTATTTCTAGACGGTGACAACGCCGAGTCAAAGCTCGTAAGGAAAGGTATTGCAGGTGAGAAACGAATCGATTGTTTTTCTAACTTCTGTCTGGAAAAATTTAACCGGTAGCAGTTTATAACGTATATACTGTTACAGAAGGTTATGGCGCAGCTGGGCGGTGACTCTGTACGTGCATAAAATAAACGGCAAGTACGGAATAAAATTTAGTAAGATATTTCCAGACTGGACGCTATATATGTATATACATTTATATTAGAGTAGAATATTCAAGGAAAAAGATCCCTAGAACAGAGTAGATTCGCGTACGAACTTTTCTTCAGATTTGTTTTCTTGTTACAGGCAATAGCGCGTAGTGTGAAAATGATGGATGGAAGAAGAATGGTACCGGTTGAAAAGCACGGTGGTAAAGATTCGATTCGCGCGGGACGGAGAGTGTCGATCAGACAATGACCTCGGCAACATGTTTCTAAAGGAGTCGACCAGCAGGAGACAATGGATATATAATATCACCTATAATTAGCCTCGTTAAAGCTGTCTCTAATAATAAGCAAAGCTAGCCAGATGGCAAAATCGCGAACGATAATCTGCCGGTGTGCTTAACGGTTATTAATAAAATGCGCGATTTATCTCGCAGCCACAAACACGTTTAATGCTTATCAATACACCATATGTACAACTCGGCAACACATTACTGCACACAATCCGCGGAGAAACTGCTTGTGCCAGATAATGCCTTTTATGACGATGCTCGTTGTGTCTGGAGGCTGCGCGGCAAACGGAATTCCCTTATCAAGACATGTTATCCCTTTGCGTACGGCACATGGAATTAACCTCGGTAAACAAATTATGGTTTACGGTAAACAAACATTGAAAAATTCAAACAGTTCAACATTTTTATGTTTGGCCAACAGCTTACAGGTGTCTCGTTCAGAGGATACGCAAATTTGCTTTCAAAAATTTATTTCACTGTTTATCAATCACAGATTTGCTAATCTAAAACTAACTGAGACATCAATACGTTTATCCAAGAAATATCAAACTTTCATCAGGGGCCGACGAATTCTTGTAAGAATTTACAACCGCTGAAAATCACATCATCAATTGTTACAATTGATCTTATTAGAATCTACGATCCAAAGGCTAATAAAACGTATATTTTGTTAATTCCAGAAAGGAGAAAGAAGGTGAAATCATCATGCTCGAGCACTGAAAAAGAGAATGCCTATTTAACGCTGGTCGATTGATACAATAATAACGAGACACGATGCTCTGCAAACTATGCCGCATAAAATCAGGCATCTATTAATATCAGCGTGCGACACTTTGGTACGCGAAGAAGAGTATTGTTCTCGTAATAAGAAGCTCGAAGGCGGATTTACATAAAATTCTACAATGAATCTGACGATCGAACACACGCGAGAGAGCCGGAGGACTCGCGGTTGCCGCGGCAGATAAATATTATTGCAACTCTCGAGCGCTCGAACCACTTGATAGTATAAATATATCTCATCGAAGACGAGGGCAAACACGCGAATGCGTGAACGTTGCATTGTTGAATACGTTGAACAAACAAGATCCGACCCTTTTTGGCCGTGATAAGTGACAAATCTGCATAATTTCATTAACCCACGATAGGTGGTGCTCGTTCATTTGGTATGTAATTCAACGTGAGCCTTGCCAAACGGAATCTCGCTTTCGATTCTAGCGTATGATCGCCGCCCGAGTGTAACAATTATTTCACGGGACAATTGCCGACGCTATTCCGAGTACTTAATTAGACTACGCGGCCTGTTGTTGCTCGATGACACATCTCTATTGGGTTTCTCTGCACGGATTCTCGTGTATTTCTGTTTGTCAAATGACTAATATGCGAACGCCAGTAACAATGAAACGCGTATGATGGAGCAATGAATGGTCGCGTGATTTTTTTCCTCTCGGATATTAAGCGTTAAGTTAAGAGAAAGAAAAAAACATTTCGATATTATAGATTTCATTTGAAAAATGAGAGGAGTTGAATGCGTATAATTTCATTTTCGATTTTGGAAATCCAGTGAGTTACAGGTACAGGCACACTTAAGAGATTCGTATCTTTAAGATTGATATTTTTCATAGATTAATATTCTTACCTAATCTCTAGTTTTAAATAACTGAAATAATCTCAATGACGTCTATACTTTTATGGATAATTTAAATTTCGTTCGCGTGTAATACAATGAATATATTTTTATTAACCAGACTTTACAAAGACAAAAATTGAATTGTCATACTATTTCAGTTTGTTACTGCATCAAGTGCCGCTGTTGTTAATTTTTCAAACAAATGAAGCATGAGATTTCTCAAATGACCAAATTGTATTAATAAATAAATTTCTATTTATTTTTGTTCTAACTTGTATGTATTTTATCTAGATTGGTTGTGGATCACAAGTCAAATTGTAATCGTCAATAGATATAGCAACGCAAGGTTTATATAAATCTTTCAAATTGCACCATTCTATTTGCAATTGCACCAACCACTAAAATTTTGTCGACAACTGACTGCAAAAAAATAAACCAGCTTCAGCACTTTTACGTCGAGAGATAAGTAATTTGTATTATAAATATATACGTACAAGTGTTCAACATGCCCTCTTGAACCAATTGTATTTTTTTTTTTTCTTTTCAAGAAAATTGTGCTAAATCATAAGTAGGTGTACGATAATCGTTTGAAGGATGATCTATCTATCAAGCAAGGAAGATAAGGAAGAACTTAATTCATAATCAGTCATTCTAACTGTTGGAGAGCTGCGTATCACTGTTACTGTGTAATCTTGTCTTTTATCGTAGAAGAGGAATCATTAGATCAACCGGCTGGTTTTCTAGATAATTCTTAATATCAAGTTCATTGTAATATCTTTCCGTTGAAAAATTCTCAATCAAATCTGAAGAGCGTTTAAAATATTCATTCAAGATAGAGACTCAAGGCAATAAATAACACATACGATTAAATTAAAGGAGCGCAGTTTAAAAATTTCTTGAAAATACCGACGCAATTTCTCACAATCTCCATCTGATTTAAAGCCAATCACAGCCTCGAGTGCAGCGTTCGTTTGATGTATTACTTTATTATCATTACAAAAGAACGTTTTTTAAACGATGTTAAGCACAAGGAATAATGTTTTACAGCTTACAATTAGTCAGAAGAAGGACAGAGTTTGGAGATCAATCTGAGGAGTACAAGTTTTTTAGCGAATCCCAATTTCATTCAACTAAAGTAATGTGATAAAATATTCATAAAAGGTAACGTCAATAGTTTCTCAAACTAGAGTATGACACTTGATCCTTCAACAGAGATTTTACTTTTGGACAGAAACAAAGTGTTGCGTGACAAACTAGGCGAGATACTGCACAATGATGGCAGACAATTCGAAAAAGGGTCTTCCAGTGGATAAACGAGTCTAATTTCATAGCTATCAAATATGCGTACGCCTGTCGTTAATGGATTGAAGCCTTGATTCCAACGATTCGCCAGAGTTATCATCTTATTCATCTTTGGAATTCGCTGCATAATTCATGGGCTCGGCGAACACATGATCTCTCCTTGCCAGGAGACGATTGGCCAGACGCTGACGATTAACTTTTTTTTTTTTTTGCGTGCAAACTGCGAACACGCGTGAAGAAATTGACGGGTCGATTGATCTCGCGATCAGCGCCAAAGATATCAGACGTCATGTTACATAAATCGATATGAACGATAGAAATCTTCGATTCCTCAAAGAGGGCAGATTAATTAGCGAAAAGTTGATCCCATTGATCGCCTGCCTATGAAGTGCAGCAATAAGAATCTTGTGTACCTTTGGCCGATAACGTCCAGCGGAGCGTCGTTGTTAGCGGAATGATCCGCTAATTGTCAATTTTCTAGAATCTTTGCGGCCGTCGGCGCTACAACACTTCGTTGAACGTTCAATTACTTCATTAGCGCTTGATCAACGAATTATTCGTGCTACTCGTGCACTTTTCGCCGTAGCTTTCAGCTGGTGATCTATGAACAATTTACGAGCCTGTTCCAACGCCTTTGCTTCGACGTGTAGCACGTTCCTCTAGTAGAAAATGTTTAAATCGAACGTATTGCCAAATCTGAAACGTGTGGCAATACGTGCAGTTTGACGTATAGTTTCAATGATTTTTGTTAGACGTAACTTTTAAATTCAGGATTTACTGTATACTTTGTAATTGCGAGATCATCGAACAATTGTCAATTTTTATACGTGAATGTAACGCACGAGTAATGTAAGTTTGTGAAATTCGCACACTGTCATTGCAGATCGCCTCAAAGTCCGGATTATTTGTAAATAACAGTGTGCGCGTGAATGAAACATCATGGAGCAAAACGGTGGATAATCGTGGATGGAATTTATCAACGCAGCCGAAAAACTGGAGCTCGATATCTTTCCCTTTAAGCTGTAGGCGTGCATTGAGAGACTCGGCTCGCCATGGCATCAGTCCAAATCACATGACACCAGGTGCACACGCTATATCCAAGTATTTCCCTCCCCCCCGCCCTGTCTCACGCGACATCACGCTATTTTAATGAGATGTATCCGTCTGTTATAAACGTTGTAGTTATATTTTCATGCTTTTTCACACGCCGGTATTTTCACCGTCGCATTCGGCAAAAATTTTGTCTTGTTCCTTGAGAACGGAGAGACAAGAAAACTGAAGGAATTCAGTCGAGTGTCTATAATCTTTTTGTTGTTTTCCAGGGTCTATTTTCTAGATAGACACTGATACTGTTATGCACTGAAATTCCATCAAGTTCGACAAGTTTAATAATAGAAACAGTGTAAAATTCTAAAACCATGTAACGGAGATTCACATTGTAAAGAAGAAATACACACGCTGAATTGGCAAGTGTATTTACATTTAAACAAAGAAGAAGAGAAAGAAAGCAGAGCTGTTTCTTTGTAATTAAATCAACTTGGCTTAGACTTGTCAAAATATTGAATACTCGTGCAGTATCAGTGACTTGTCGTTTGTTATTTTTGCAGATAGTATCCTGATTTCAGACCTCGACAAAAGAGTGAAGAAAGGAAATTCTCGCACCTCTTCTTTTTAACAGCAAAGTACTATACGTATCGAACAAATCTCGTTAATTTACCAAAGTAACCGAGATTGGCCTAACGTGTCTCACGTATATGGAAGAAGAATGTTGCAGCTTTCGGTGTCGACGATCGATTACACAAGCCATTGGACACGGTTGATCTCATGATAACCACCAGCCAGTCAGCTGTTTATCTTGGATTTGGTTTTTGGCGTGTAATCGGTTAGAATCGCATCGTGCATCGGTTCATTGGATTTTTTTAATCGATAACCGCGTGCAAACAGCACTCGCGGATACGTTACGTTCACGGACGGGCTATAATTACACGGTCTCCTTCGTGTTTAATGAAATGCAGGCGAATTCGCAGCATTGTGCAATAATTCACGGACACCGATGCTAACAGGAAGAGAAGCTTCGAACGACGTTTCTGCTCGACATTCCACGGTAAAGTTTATTTGGAGCAAATGAAACTAGAGAGCATGAAAGTGAATTAACGTAACCGGATAACATTGTTTAACTAGCTTCTACGTAAATTATGCAGGTAGGCAAATATCATTTAATAACGTGAAATGAACAATTGTTTTACTGCGTTGTATTTGCTAACAGTATGACGATCGATAATGCAAGCAAGTTTGTTAATTATTAATACACGGTATACACCTTCGTTTACCTATCGTATGCGCATAATACGATAAAGTAAATAAATTTATGTTTTACAGAGAGTAACAGAAACAATTTAATTTACTGCACTTTATCTGTCAATGATTGAGAACTGGCGGCATGCGAGTATCAACTACTGACTACGCTTTTATGCGTTTGAACATTTCTCAAACTATTTATCATATCGCAAAGCTCTCCTTTAAGAATAGATAAACATATTCATTTGCTGCAATTCATTTCACATACATGAGTAATTTCACTTTACACGTGAGGGCAAATATGCAACATTCACGATTGTTGTAATAATTTTTTTTTTTTTTTCAAATGTAGGCTTCGCAACGTGTAACTTTTTTTTCCGTCATCTAGAATCATTCCATTCTGCCCGAGAGAAAAAAAGCTGAGAAACCACTTCTTAGTAAAGTAGAAATAAGAGCCGTGCTCATCTAGGTTTTTTCTTTTTTCTGCGTTACAAATTAATTAAATTAAAAGGTAAACGATTGCTCTGGCAGCAACTCGAGCTTCTTAATGACTAATTTCAGCACTGCGAAGTGATCATCGTAATCACGGTGTGCGCAAGTAATTATAAAACAAACGATCGTGGAAACATAATTGCAGCGTGAAAGTAAATCCGTTCTCATTAACGGCCTGTTGGAAAGCAAATTGCACGAGCCTTTCTTTGTGCCTTGGAACAACAGAATTTCTTAACCGAGAATTATCTAGTTACTCTAATTAACAAACAAAAGAAATTTATTATTTCTTATTTATTTATTTTTATATTTATTTATTTATGTTTATTTTTATATTTATTTATTTATATTTATTTTTATATTTATTTATTTATATTTATTTTTATATTTATTTATTTATACTCATATTTATATTTATTTATATTTATTTATTTATATTTATTTTTATTTATTTATTTATATTTATATTTATTTTTATTTATTTATTTATATTTTATTAGTTTATTTTTTTCAGACAGAGATCCTTCATTTTCAATTGTTTAAAATTGATCCGTGCTAAAGAAATTTTGGGGCCGTTTGAGGAGGAACGAGAAGAATCCCAAAAATAAAATTTCTTCTTTAGCAAACGTATTCCAATGACATCATGTTCGCCGCTTCGTTTGCCAACTTTTGCGAATGCTGGTTGCACATGAATGTTCGCATCATTTGTTTTCATATCTCTCTGATTATATGGCTCTGTATCGATTCCGTCAAGAGAAGAAAAGATGATAGAAGTTCGAACCGGCTAAGAAAAAAAGAATTATTTTTCAAATGAAACGTTTTAACAATGGAAACTTGGTCGTGCCTCCTGCAATAGAGGTTTAACGAAAATAGATTATACCGATTTTGAGCACAATCATGACAATAATTATACTTTGCTGCTAGTAGAATTATCAAATGAAGAAGTCGTCATTAATATTTATTGTTTTCTTCACGAAGTGATTGCCAAAACATTGGGAAATCAATTCTTCATCTTGCATTCTTGAATATTACCATAATTTAATCAGTGGCTGAAGTATTACGTAACATAACAATATCAGATATGAAATAAATCATTAAATTATTACAGGATACTAAGGAATAGGTAAGACTTCATGGACTTGTGGTATTCACTGAGGAGAACAAAAATGGAGGTGGAGAAAAATGCAATGTGCCCAAAGTCTGCCAAGTTGTTCTAACTTGTTTCTTTTTATCACTGAAATCTATTGGAATCTATTTCCCTAAAATGTCAACAATGGATGAATTTTTTGAATAATTTCTTAAATGTAATTCCAAGTAATTCCAGGTACTTGGAGTGGCGATTCAGTTGAATATTTAAAAGTTTGGCTCTGCTCGAAGTATCCAGTTTCCACAGAGAAATTCGCGATATTTGGGTCAAACCGATTTGGCTCAAACTTTGTACATAGTTTAATATTAACCAAAGTCATGTTTTACAACGCCTGATCTCCTTTATACTCGGACGTAACGTTTTAATTGCAAAAACAAAACAACAAATTGATAAAATAAAAAAATAAAAAAGAACGTAAGCGTTAAAAGCGTTAAGGCACAGGAAGAATGGTTATAACAAGTCAAGTATCTTTTTTCAATTCCAGATAGCTGTAATATCGACCTCGTTTTCTTTCGGTCGGGGCGATAAAAATGGCCTCTGAATCTCAATAAAATGATGTATGCGATGCATTCGATCTTGAATGAATTAGCTGAATTCACACTGATACAAGTTGTGAAAGATTTCCAGTGAAGTTTCTGTTCGATAAAATTAATTGAAACATTAATTAGCTGGCCGAAATCAAACGGAGATAGGAGAGAAAATATCGGCGAAATAAAGAAAAAAAAAAAGAAATTAAATTAATGAAACGAGAATAAAGAAACGGGAGTTGTGGAATGAAATAATTGGGTCAGTGACTAGAATTTTCATTTTAATTTTTCATTACGCGAAAACATTCGTTCTGTGATAATTCCTCCTGTTTCAGAGATCATGTTCACAAGGTTCGTTCCTGTCATCGATCAATTCATTACAATTAAGTTTTCATCATCAAACGCGACAGAATTAATAATTACTCTCTTGTCACCGCACGTAAAGGCCAATAAGTAGCAGTCTTTCAGTGTTTTTTTCTCTTTTTTTTTTCTCCTTACTGAGCATCACTCTATTCAGGCATTATTTACTGCACAATATTTATGATATTTACAAAAGCTGATGCTAGACGTTATCCGTGAATTCATTGAAGAATCATTTTTCTTCCTTTGGCAGACAACGTGACGACCACAACTTGCAGTCATCATCGTGAATTATTTATTTGCTTATATTTTGTTTAAATGTACCGCATTTCTATTGGCGATCTCCTTCTGGACATCATCGCAAATGCTAATTGACTTGAGAAACATTCTTGAAATATTCTTTTAAAACGGCACACGACTTGATACATATTTGACTGCAATTTCCATTTGTAGACTTTGCTCAATTGGATAAAATGACGGGGAATTTAAATGATGTGGGAAATAATTATCACTTCATGCTCTCTGAAGATTTCCTACGCTTTTAGAATTAAATTGTCAAACATGCTTTGAAGGAAATAAACATTAACAACCGTTCATTACGTATGATAACATCTTTTTCATTTCATTGGCTCTTATATTACTGATTCTATTTTAATCGAATCAGTGTATCATTACTCATAGATACTGAGTCTTTCGAACTGTTCTAGGTTTGCATACTGTACCAAAAGAGGCGAAGGAAGGAAAAAAAAAAAAAAAAACAAGAAAAAGAAGGTGTGGATAATTGAATTTGCGCAGAACAAGTTTTAAGCCGCTTAAAAAACGACCAGAGAAGACCCGGTGAATACTTTTGATTGGAGACTTCGATATCTGGAGTTATCGGTCGCGGAAACACGTTGGCAAATGTGACATAATTGGCTGGGTATAACAGACTATCGTCCACGCATTAATTAAACCCATTTCGTTAACTGGCCATCCGGCACTTTATCTGGCCAGTTATCGAGGCAGCTGTATTTCTGGGAAATCTCTCTTTCGCTATATGCTTTTTAATCTTAGACCGTGTAAATAACGTGCACATAAATATACATAGTTGATCGATGAACAGTGCTGTTACTTTCACGGTGAACCGACGCGGAGGATCGATCGACCAGGTTACATGTTACATGCTACACTATCGCCTTTTTTCTCTCTTTTTCTCTCTCTCTCTCTAACTTTTGGTAACAAGCCTTTCGAAACTGTTCATGTTTACAAAATTCGATTATTCTGCTTTCTAAATTTCTTAGCTGAAGCTCCATGTTGCCATGAAGCTGTTTGTTTATCAATCGTTCATTGAGATCATAAACATTTTCAAGATGTTCTCAGGATGTTGAGGTAAAAAATTAAGATACGATTTAAAGCATTCAGATGTAATTAGAAGTAGACTATTTAATTTATTTATTTCACGTGCGAAAGAGTTCTCCTTTAATACGTTTATTTTACGCAAATTGACATTATTCTCCAGCAAAATCATTTACTTATTTTTTTTTTTGTTTCTACTTTTTAATCTCATCTTGTTGTTGTGTTCAAACTACATCAGCTGACGATACGTGTAAAATTCCATTCTATAGTACGATTTATAGATTATTTACATTACCTAAACAATTTTCATTGAGGACTCGCTAAAAAATAACCGCGTCTTTTTACGTGGATGTTCCGCTGTTGGTGCCGTTTACTTTATACTCATTTTGCGCGTAACATTCTGCTTGACAAAGCATGAATGAAAAAGTTCGCGGAGGGAAATTTTAGCTCGCGATAAAATGAGATTGAAGCTTTCTAAATATCATGTGACGCGATTATGCAAGAATAACTTTCAAGTTGTTTTCCTTTTTTTACAATCTCGTGCCTACACCTTTTCATTCTCTGCTATTATACTTTCAATTATTTTTTTCTTTTTCGTGTATATATATATATATATCTTTAATTATTATGTACACTGAAGAAAATTTCCTTCTGAAACAAATCTTCACGTACAGAAATTCTACCGGCATTGTGCCCGGTTGCAAAAAAAGAATCAGGTCAGCGAAGGTACGAATAATTTATGCAAACGCCGCGATAGATCCCACTCATTTCATGTTTTTCACTGGACACTTTATATAGACACGATCGACGACGAATATTGCGTTGTAAGGTGCATTCTAGTTTAGTAGTGACGAAAATAAACACGAGAAGTCTGTGCGCGTATAAAAATAGCGATAATTGCGGCAATATTAAACGACGAGTTAAAGCGTTAAAAATATTTCGTTCAATCATCTAATAAGTATTCCGTTTATCAAAACAACTTTCTTTCCCTCTTATCTTTCGCTAGTTTATTGGTGATTTCACTTTTCTTTTCTCTCTCTCTCTCTCTTTAAATTTCATTGAATGCAGATTACGCTTTTTTTTCTAATCGATATCTTATTTCTACTGTAGCTGTGTTATTTTAAGA